GGCCTGAGGCGTGTTTATGCGGGCCGAGGAAATGGGATCGAACCGAGACGTGTGATGCTCGGGTCACGATCGTTTGGGCCTGAGGCATGTTTACGCGGGCCGAGGAAATGGGATCGGACCGAGGCGTGTGATGCTCGAGTCATGATCGTTTGGGCCTGAGGCGTGTTTACGCGGGTCGCGATGGCAATTAATGAAAATGATGTGATTGGTGCGTGATCGAGTGTGGAATGTGGAATTGGAAATGCGGTGTGTTCGATGTATACGTTGGCATGAGAATGTGAGTGATTTGTAGTGCGTGTGGTTGAGATGCGTGTGAGAATTGTTTGTTATGATTGCGGACTAATGTGCAAGCTGTTTATGCCAAGAGTCCAGGTTAGTGTGATCATGTGGATGACGATGTTTGTGTTCATTGCTTGGTTGTGTCTGGATATGTCTGGAATACGTGGTAGCCTAGGTAGGGTTTAGGTTGTCACTTATTGAGAAGTGTCTCATGGTTATTTCAACCAAACCATTTTAGAGCCCCCGCTTGAGCCATGAATATATTGAGGCCGACTCGGAGCCGTCGGGTGAACAGACAGCTAAGAAGGATTCAGGTAGTGATGTTGAGAACAGTGAATCAGAGTGGACGCCTTTGAGAGGGCGTAGAGACTAGTTCTGGGAGCGAGGCAATAGTTTAAGAGTGCCCCATTTTTGGATAATGCTGATCTAGGATACTGATCCTTTTTGTATTTTGGAAGTTAATGGTTACTGGTTCAGTGTGATTGTAAATTATAATGGATATTGTAAATCTTTGGAAGTGTAATGTGTGTGTGTGTGTGTGTATATATATATGTTGGCGGTTCTGCGATCTAGTTATTCCTGGTAGTCTCCAATTTTATTGTTTAGGATTTTATAATTGTTTCCGCCGCGAATCAACTCTGATGGGAACATTGGGTTGGCGACGTGTTCCTAGGACGTCGCACTGATTCGACCGAGCTAGAGGGAAGTTACGGGTTCGATGGGGTTCGGGGCGTGACAGTTTCCTCTCCGGCAACCACCATATTGAATGCCACCGGGACATATACCTGGAACACAAGGGAATGGATAAGGAAAAAACGAAAAGCAATACAAAACCCAACAAAAATTAAGGTGAATATGTAACAATGTCAGAAACTCAGCTTTATTCATACCAAAAATTCGACTCAAATCATGAACATCAACAGGTTACAAAATGCAATTCTCACTTTGATTCGAAACAACGGTTTAGCAACAAATGAGCATTGCGCTCTAACTAAGTCAACAGCAATCAAACTTTTACAAGTCTAGAACAAACTGATTTGCCGTAATATAGTTTCCAATTCAGCGATTTAATCAAAGAAAACACTATCAAATCTGGTACCGGTATTTTGTCAAACAGATTATGAGCGTTTCATATAAGACACCCATATGTAGATCTAAGACAAGCTCGTTCCCAGTTATCACAAACAGCAAAAATCTGTTCAGCTTCACATCATCAAACAGAACTCAGTCCGTAAACATTCCCAAACAATAACTATCAAGCGGCGGTGAACAACGTCTGGAAGCGCACGAAACAGAGAATCGTTTCTAGGGAGAATTTTCTGGTGATTCAATGTGTGCGCCCCGCTTTTGTCCGTCCTTGGGCAGTGACTAAAATTCTTGAGCTGAAAATTTATCATTATTATTATTTTTATTTTTTATTTTTTTATTATTTTTTTTTATTTTGGTACATTTACAAGAATGAAAACTTGTATTATTAACTATGTCGACTTTTAAGGCAACACACGACCCAATGCAGTGCAATCAGACCTGATTTTATGGAAGCCTATGAAACACTGCAGTGCAATCCCATGGACCAGTTAAATCTGATGATAAGTGGCGCTCATCTATTGCTGGTTTCGTTATGTGCTTGTACACTCAATCACAACATATAATTTTGCATTTTAACCCTCACTCACTCTTTTTCTTATTTAGTTGAGCCAGCCCAACCCCACCCGCCCCCCGCGCTCTCTCTCCGTCCTTATTCCTTCGTCTCCGGCTCAATTTCTTTAAAAATTACCAACTATAAGTGATGTCCTTTCTTGTCTCAATACAAATAGTAAGTTTAGCTCGGATTTTAGTTCTGGTATGAACTTTTTTTGTCTCACAAAACAGCACTAACTTCAAGTTAGGTCCTAATTTTGATCCAAACCTTTTTGTGTCTCATAAAAAACACCAACTCTCATTCGGTACTTGAATCTAACTCTCTCAAGTTTTGTACTTGTACCTCTCTCTCTCTCTCTCCCGTCGGCCACCCCCCCCCCCCCCCCCCCAAATGAATTGCCGTGTTACCGCATTTGAAGAAGACGAAAGAAAAAAGGGGAATTAAAAGACTTGAAAAAAGAGAGAGATGTACTCATGCAATGAGACATCGAATCTTTATTGGGAAAATTGACAAAAATTTGATGAAGGCCAGGTTGAGTATCGACTGAGAGTTTGTATTTTTTTATGAGATAAAAAAAAAAAGTTCGAGAAAAAATTGAGACCTGACTTAAAATTGATGTTTTTAAATGGAATCGGGCCCTTCATTTTCATCTTCAACTTTTCATCTTTTTTCCATTTCTTCTTCTCAAAAGCTACCATGGCCAAGCTTTGACAAGGTGCAATTGAGAGAAAGAATATAAGAACAACTGGGGACTAAAGTTCATGTCAGCATATTTCCTCAATTTCAACAGAAGGACCATATTGAACCACTTTTAGAAAGTTCATGGATGATCTTGAAAAAAGATAAATAGATAGTACATGGATGACATTGAACAATGAGTAAAATTTAAGGATTATTAGTATCATTACTTTTTTTAAATGAATATAAATGATCATATATGGAGAGTAAGCAAGTCGAAAGTACATCTTCGTGCATTTTCCTTTATGTTCAGTTGCATGAACTCCTTTATGAGCATCCAGCATCGAATTGATTGCATGCATCTGTGACTTTTTATAATTTGCATAACATAAATTTACTTCCGTTCAATCTTAAATACTGAACTTTATTAGCAATTTTCAGGCCGGATTGGAAATAGACCAGATTTTATTTCCTATCTGGATGCCTTTTGTATAGAATGAAGTAATCACCTCCTTACATAATGAATTAAGGCTCCGTTTGTTTTATGGAAAATGTGACATTTCTAAAAAAATATTTTTCAGGAAGTCACTTTCCAAGAAAATGACTTTTTTTTGTGTTTGGTTGAAACATAAAAATGACCTGGAAAATTTTTTTCATTGTTTGGTTTGAAAAATCTGATTTAATATTCTTAAATAGACATACACTATTTAAGCGCTAGTAACTTGCACATGAATAGCCTAGGAACTAGGTACGAGCACTAGAGTCCTGGCTCTAGCCTCGAAGGACCCTGACCGGGGCCTTGGGGATCGCGGCACAGGCACTCAGGTCTCAGGCGCGGCCTCAATGGACCTGAGCGCAAGCATGGGGGTCCTAGACCCGGCCTAGATGAAATCGGGCACAACCTTTGTGGACCCAAGCCCTAGTGTTAGGGATCTAAGCTTGAGTACCAAGATCTCGTGCTTGACCTTTATGAACCTGGGCTTGGGTGCCGAGGCATCGAGCATGGGCACCGAGGCTTCAGACTCAAGGTCCGAGCTCGGCCTCGATAGACCTGAGCACGGGCACCGAGGGTTTGGGCATGAGCATCGGGGCCCTGGGCCCGACCTCAATTGACCCAAGCCTAGGCACCCGAGCCCAGTCCTAGACACCGAGAATTAGAGTTGGGTTTCCATACCCAAGCGTAAAGTTTTGGGTCCAAGCGTCAATACCTAGTTACATATCGGAAAATGATTTTCGATTTTTGAAAGAAGAAATCATTTTCTTAAATTTAAGCATAGGTTTATGTTGACTCATTTTTCTAAGTGAACAAAAACCCAAAAAGGGAGAAAAATTTCTTCTTAGACAATATTTTCCGTCAAACAAACGGAGCCTAAGTTGTTTGTTTTACTTAATTGAACATTTTACGTCAAAACTAATTACAGATTTCAAACGTGGTTATAACTTAATTAAGTGTTGAAAACATTAATTTCCAGCACTTATTAGATTTAGAAGTTCCCCCAAAGAGTAGTCAATAAAGAAAATGGTTAATACCACGAAAAATCTCAAAGTGGTACACCATGACAAATTTACCCAGAACTAATTTTTTTACCACTAAAAACCCCAAACTGGTACACCTGTAATAAATTTACCTCAAACTAATTTTTTGACCACTAAAAATCTCAAACCGGTTCACTTGTAACAAATTTACCTTTTGTTAAATTAGATTAATACCACGAAAAATCATAATTGATAAACTTGTGACAAACGGAGGGGTAAAATCCCAAACCGGTACACCCGTCAACTGCAACTTGTCATCCAACTCAACAATTTGACAGTAAAATTTAATGAAAACTAACGGAGGGTAAATTTTTCACAGGTGTACCAGTTTGGGGTTTTTTGTGGTCAAAGAATTAGTTTTGGATAAATTTGTCACAAGTGTACCAGTTCGGGATTTTTCATGATATTAACCCCAAAGGAAATGCTAAAACAAAAATGGAGAATATTGCTATGCGCGCTCAAGTAAAATAGAGAGATGGTTTTCATGTTATCCAAAGATGACTATGTCAGTCGTTTCGCTCTACATATGGATAACTCCAACTAGAAGTGATTGGGAAAACTTATTGACATCGGAGCAGAAATTGCGACAGACGCTTCGGTATAGCTGGACGAGGAGAATCACGTTTCTGCCGAAACTGTTGTTAGAATAATGCAAGAGGGCTAAGAGGTTACTTCCATGGTTGCTAAAGCAGCATAAAGGGTGAAATCCGAATGAACCTGTACAGAACTGTTGAAATGGGAAAGTCACAAGTAAACAATCGATTCTTTTATTCTTTGGTCCTTTCTGTTCTCATGCACAAACTCATGGACACTTTAAGCAACCTCATGCTATAAAACATTGTTTTGCATGGAAGTGTTCTTTGCTCTCTGGAAATGAAAGCAAGGTCTTAATTCCCGCAGATATTTTGGTAAAAGCTTCATTTTGTAGATTTCTTAACAGCTTTCGATGTCGGAATTTCTGAGACCATTTTTGTTCCGTATCGGTGCGGCATCGCTTTGCTGAGAGGTCAGTGCTCTAGCTAGCTCAATTCTTGCTTTTACTTTGGAATGTCGAATTAAACAGGCCATTGTTTCAGTTGATTAGCCTCCTATTTTTTCGCATTAATCTGGAAATTAAATAGGTGTGTTTTTTTTAATTAATCTCTTCTACATGTTGAAAGTTACAACGAGAACTGCTGCGTGAGTAGATCAAAAACCAAGGTTTCAACATTCGGGTTTTCAAATCTGCATGAATATTTTGTGTCGTTGATGGGTAAACTTGCACATTTTAACATGCTCTAACAATGGACCTTGCAAAAGACATTACCGAACAGACCACAGAGTTAAAATTCTTTTCCCAAGATTTGATGATCGGTAACATTGTTCGCTATGAACCTGCAGGACATGTGTATCATCAGTTTCTTTATGGAAAATAAATTTGTAAAAAAAATCGAATTTATGGAAAAATATACTCAGAATCAGAATAACGAGACTATGATCTGAGAGATTTTCTGAATCAAACAAGATATTGTTGTTAGATGAAGGTATGGTTTAATATTTATATTCTAACAATGTGAGATTTTGTGGAACCACTGTCAACTGTTCTAAAAGCTTGAGCTGTTAGATGAAAGCGTGGTTTAATATTTATATTCTAACACTCCCTCTCACGCTTAGTTTGGTCTTTTTATGAACTCGAGACCTCCGGTTTTGATACCATATGAGATTTGGTGGGACCACTGCCAATTGTTTTAAAAGCTTAAGCTGTTAGATGAAGGCGTAGTTTAATATTTAATTATTCTAACACCATTAATGGAAGATGATGGAGCTCTCGATTGCTCTAAGAAAGAAAAGAATGTTAATCACGTGTATCATTTGAATGCATTGCATGTCAGGGATAGTTTTCTGTTATAAATTCAGAATTTCGGGATACAAGTTCATAATTCGTAAAGATATAAGCCTAGACTTCAGAAGTCTATGACCAGAGCAAAATGAACCGACCCCGATCGACAATTTCTAATGTTCAAAGACCATTTCGCAACACTAGCTATAGTATATGGATCAAAAGTAGTGTAATTAATCTGAATTACTCTTGACGAACAAGATTCATTACCTGTTGATTCCACAAAATCGAATTCTTTATCTCACTCACAAATGATGCTATTTCACACTTAATCTTAGAGTTAAATAAGGTTTGACTCCCTTGTCTACCTTTACTTTCCAGCTTCAATTCTTTCATTTTAAAGAGAGCAACACAAGAAGGAAGTTATGGGCGTGGATTTTTTCGGCTGGGTTCCACTAGTCATTAACAAATGCTTTCCATGGCTGATGGATCTTTGGGAAGATTGGAGCATCCAATTACTAGTACTCACTGGCCTCGTGTTTCAAATAACTCTGGCCATCTTTGGCGGTCGGAGGAGGTATATGACCGGCCTACCAATAAGGTTTGTTGTATGGTCCTCCTACTTGCTTGCCACTTATGTCGCTGCCCTAGCTCTCGGCAAGCTCACGGTAATCCGTGTTGATGATCCAGAAAAACCCGAGTATGACACAGAGCTAAAGGCACTCTTGGCGCCATTGCTTCTGATGCAGCTCGGTAACCCAGATAGCATAACCGCGTACTCGGTTGAAGACAACCGGCTAGGGATAAGACAAGTACTAAACTTTGTCTTCTCCGTTGCTTTCGTGCTTTGGATCCTTATTCGTTGTTGGGAGACCTCAGCCGCTGCTTCATTGTACTTCCCAATCTTTGTCGCCGGGATGATCAAGTATGGAGAAACGATTTGGGCTCTCAAATCGGTGTACAGCGAAAACATGAGTATAACCTCGGAGGACATTGATGAAGAAAAGAACATCCCCAATTTGATCCAAAAACTACCAACCAACATCCCAGACTTAGATATCTTCGTGAAGGCTTATTACCGGTTCGACACTTTGAAGCCCCACCTTGAGAACTGGCTCTACCACCCCATGTTCATGTCACGCCATTGGATGTCAATAGAAGAATACAATGTGGAGAATGCCTATTTGACAACTGCCATCGAGCTAGGATTTATGTACGACGTCCTCTATACTAAGGGTCCAGTTCTTTATACTAAACTCGGCATCACATTGCGGTTCATTAGTTTCTTCAGTTTGGTATCGACCTTAAGTGGGTTTGCAGGAATTTTTCAAAATTCATTCTTGCTTGATATGTATGTGGCCTATACATATGCACTGCTGATTGGGGTGATAGTTTTGGAAATATACCAAATCCTGGCTCTGCCATATTCAGATTGGGCAATAGTGAAGATGGTTGAGCATCACAGGAAGCCGTTGGTGAAAACTTTTCTACTTTTTCTCGTGAAAATGTCCATGAAAAAGCAAAGATCATCCGATATGATCGGGCAGTTCAATATGTTAGACTATTGCCTGCATGATAAATGGTTGAAGTTCATCAAAATCCCTCAATTTGTTGGCCAGGAGGAGCAGTTCAAGAGATATTTGAAATCCACTAGCAAAGCAATCGACACAGATCTGAAAGAACTACTCCTCAAAGGTATGAAGGATTTGGAGGGAAAAAGATGTCTAAAACCCTTCACTAGTAGAGGCCAATGGACGCTCGAGCTTCACAATTCATTGGAAGAACTAAAATGGAGCATTGAGACAGCATTCGACAGAAGCATCATCACATGGCACATGGCAACAGATATTTGCTATCACTCGAATTTTCAGGACTCAAAGAATTGCTCGGGAAGTAAGCTACTGTCAGATTACATGATGTACCTCCTCGCAATACGGTCTTATGTGTTGTCGCTCCCCACCAATGAGATCACCTTTGAGCATGCTCACTCAAGGGTCAAGAAATTTCTGGCGGTTTCAAACTTAAGCAACAGAGACACGGCCTTGAAAAAGTTATCAACCGAATGTGTGCAAGAAACTGACCCGGAACCTGGCACGGGCCCTATAATCTTCAAAAAGTGGCATGTCCTTGAGGAGGCGCAAAGACTAGCGGGCCTGCTGAATAATAAGAACGATCCATGGAAGCTTATAAGCAGCGTTTGGGTGGAGATGGTGTGTTACACAGCGTATAATTGCCTGATTTATAACCATACGAAGCTGTTGAGGCGAGGTGGAGACATTCTAACCCATGTGTGGCTTCTGCTAGCTCACAAGACAGACAAGTTTAATTCTATGAAACTCATAACCCAAGAGACTTGAGTTTAAGCAAGGGCGTCCAAGAATCAGCGGGAACAATCACAGTTCATTTGACATTCATAATAATAGATACTCAGTTCTCATCATTCAAATAATTATGATTGATCTCCTTCATCCATTATTTCTATCTTTCTTTTCCTAATTCTATCTTATATACAGGGACTGCAGCCAACGATTTGGGGCGATTTGCTCAGTCAGTTCATGTTATTTACATTGAAGTTTATTTTGGACTTAAAGATCATTTCTTTTGTGTCGCCTTGTCTTTGATGTTAGATTCTTTTGCTCATTTGCTTTCCCATAGTTTTGTTCTCGGACTACTGTTTGTTGAATTGCTGACTTTCCTAGAAAGTCAGTTTGTCAAGGACACCAGAAAACACCTAAGAAAGTTTGACTAAACCCAATGAAGTGGTTTTCGGCAAACTACGCTTAAATTATACCTGCAACTACTTTTACCCTGTCTATTCTTCATAATTGACGCCTCAATTTGAGTAAGTTCTATTGGGAATGAGATCAATCTCAACTAGAGAAAGAGAAAGAGACATTCGGAAAAAAGCAATTGAAAGGCAATTAAAAGAAACAGCCGAGCCTAAACTATTTCCCTTTCCGGTGAGCATCAGGGATTATACAATCAGGAACAAGTAATTTGTTATATGTCAAAGCTTGATATCATGATAGTTTGAATAATTTGATATCATGTGTTATGTGAAGCATAGCAATTAGAGAGATCTTGTGTAGTATAAGATACAACATGCGTCACCTCCATGCAACATTGATAAACAACCTGCGATTGTACAAACTGACAGATGCAGAAGGAAGTAAATCAAGCTACAATCAGATAACTATATCCATCTCCATTATTGTAAATATGGGATATGTTTATGATGTGGCAAGAAAGGAAAAGTACAAATAGAACACCACATTCATCGGACTATCAAATAACCAGTGTTTCCTTATTGTAAAGCAAGGTAGACATGTTAATAAATTAGGAAAGTCGAGACAATCTTGAGTATGCGTCACTTTAGTATTACACAGAGTCCATACGAGCATCTTTTTAACTTGGTGCCAAACCAAAAGCAGAAATAAGAAAAGGGAAAAAGACATACATAGTACAGGAAAGAGAGGATGTCAGTTCAAGCAAGGGATCTATTCTTCTGTGAGTTATTCTCAAAAGTGCACTAGTGGTTTTCATTGTTTAGGAGACCCTTTAAAGAATATATATGTCTCTCAACAGCTCGTCCTGTCCTGTGCTCGTGTAACAGCTAACAGAAACCTATGTGATGCTTCTCAAAATTTACAAAAAAAGAAGAAGAAGAAGAGCAGCCTTCCAAATACTCTGTACTGCCCCTTTTGTACCTCTATATCCCAACAAATTGCTTCCTAGCCGGGTAAGGTGTACTCCATTGCTTCATTCTCTGTTGTCAATTTCCTGGTTCAATCATCTTCAAGCATTTTACTTGCTCATGCTGTTCAATTTTAGTGTAAGACTAATGCAAACTCTAACAATGAATCCTGTGACTTTCTTCTTGCTTTCGTTAGATTATCTTACGTTCGCCTGAATTGAAGTTCCTTTCAACAAAATCAAAATTGGAAAAAGATGTGATTATTCTCGAATTGATAGGACCTTGAATATTGCATCCTGTACTTGATCAGATTTTTGCTGTCTTGAAAGAGGGAAAGGAGATGGTCATTTTCTGGGACCCGATTGTCAAGAAGGCCAAGAGATTGTGGACTGCGTGGGACATTCAGACCTTGGTACTATTGAGCCTCACCTTCCAAATCATCCTTTTGGTCTTTGGCCGTCGCCGGAGTTACATTACGGGATTCTTGATCAGAATTACTGTTTGGTCGAGCTACTTAATGGCAAGCTGGGTCGCTACTGTTGGTATCGGTAAGCTTAGCGACACTAGCGTTGGCGACCCTAGTTTACCCGATACAGAAACTTCACTTAAGGCCCTTCTTGCCCCAATTCTCTTGTTGCACCTAGGAAGCCCCGACACAATTACTGCCTATTCAATTCAAGATAATCAGTTGGGGGCGAGAGAAATAGTTGAAACAGTTGCCCAAGTGGGTCTAGTTATTTGGATTCTCATTAGGTGCTGGACTTACACTAGACTCTCGTTCCTAACCTTGCCAATTTTTCTCGCCGGGTTCATCAAATACGGGGAGAGAGCATGGGCTTTGAAATCTGCTCTTGACCAGGATGCGGACATGGCCATTTCGAGGAACGATGAAGAGAATACCTTACCCGAGATGTTTTGCAAATTACCTAAAGATAATCCTGGCGCAGATCTAATTCTAAAAGCATTTTACCGCTTCGACCGCATAAAACCACATTTGAAAAATTGGATCTACCACTCATTGTACATCTCCCGTCCCTCGCTGTCAATAGACGATTATCCACCTATTAAGGTTTTCAAGATTACTGAGATCGAACTAGGATTCATGTACAATGCCCTCTATACAAAAACACCCATTATCTACACTAAGGTAGGTTTTATGCTCCGTTTTCTTACTTTTGTGTGCATTGCATTGACCTTTTCCGGATTCGCAGTGATGTTCAGAAAAGACTTCTTGCATCACAAGAATGTCACCTTCACTTTTTCAATGTTGGCTATAGCCATGATCCTTGAACTGGATTCGGACTCGAAACTGCTCTTCTCAGACAGGGCAGTAGTATGGGCAATCAGACACCAGCATCAACTGCGAATGGAAAGACTCCTTAACTTTCTAGTCCGATTCTCTCTGGCAAAGCAAAGATGGTCGAATCGCTTGCCTCAGTTCAATCTCCTTTGTTTTTGCCTCAAGCCCAATTCGAGGAATTTAATGAGTAAGATCCTGAAATACTGTCGGCTGGAGGAAGAGTGGAAGAAGCACAGATTCCTCACATACAAGGAAAAAGTTCCTATTCCGCTGCAAGAACTCGTACTCCGCGAGATAAAGGCGGTGGAAGGTCAACGAGGCTTTAAGCCCTTCACTAAGAGAGGCGAATGGGCGCTTGAGAGGCATAATTTCTATGAAGAAGTGAAATCAAGCATCCGTACTGATTTCGGCAGGAGTATCGCCATATGGCACATTGCCACTAGCATTTGTTACCAACTAGATGATGCCAACACAAGTGGAGGAGCTTCTCTCAAGGAAATGAGCAAATGGGTCTCGGACTACATGATGCATCTCCTGGTTAATCTCCCCGAAATGCTATCAGTCGCTTCTGGGCGCGTTATCTATGAGCATGTACGCACAGTCATCAAGGAGCTCCAGGTTTCGACACCGGAAATGAAGGACGAACATTCAGCCTGCCAAATCCTACAAACTGCCCAACTCCCTGACCATGCTGCCCAAAAGCCGGAAGATCCCGTGATTGAACTAGGTTGGCTCATATTGCCTGAAGCACAGCAACTCTCAGGGAAATTGTTGATGCGAGAGCAAAAATGGGAAATCATCAGCAGTGTATGGACAGAGATGCTGTGTTATGCTGCATATAGCTGTGATTTGGATAGCCATGCACAACAGCTCAGGAGAGGTGGGGAGTTTATTACTCTCATTTGGCTCCTCCTAGCTCACAAGACAGATAGGTTCAATTTCGGCAAGTGTGGTTAGAAAACTCATTGATTGATACATTACCGCGTTGTAATTGTAACTAGTTGCGAATCTTGGAGCCCAACTCACTCGACTTTTTTAGCTCTTCTGCTTTGTCTTCTGCTTGCCCAACTGTACCATTCTAATGCAATGAAGTGAGATGATCTATTTAAGGTTGCAAATTACCAACTCAGTAATAGCAGATCGCATTCATCAAAAGTAAAACAGAATTATTTTTTCGTAAATTTATACATTTTCAGATTGAGAATAGATTTTCTTTTGTGCAGTTAATTGTAACTTCATAGATTTTGTGGAACACAGCACGTATCAAGAGCAAAGTGGATCGATTCGTGATAAATTTTCTTATTTGAAGTAAAATATTTCAGACATTCAAGGAGCGCGCATGAAATTATTGTAAGTCATATTTGCTCGCAATAAATCTTTTTCATTTCAAGTAGATACGACTTCTGGTATTAAGTTGCTAATTTGCAACCTTAAATAAATCACCTTAACATAGAAATCCTGCGTTGTGATCTTCCGCCTCTGGGGCAACATCGTCACTGAGTTCGGTCTTATGTAGGAATTGGCAGGCTGAAAGTTGGTCCTCCGTTCCTGGCAACGACTTATGGAAGAGCAGCGTCTTCATGACCGTGCATGCATGCTCATAGCTAGCGGGCCAGCACTAACTGATGGCATTTCGAGGAGATTAACTGCATCACGTAATGCCAGACGCGTTTGCTCATTTTCCTGAGAGAAGCTTCTCTGCTTGTGTCGGCATCATCTAGTCGGTAACTAATGCTAGCGGCAATGTGCCACATCGCGATACTCCTGCCGAGCTGGGCAGCGGATGCTCCCTTGCAATTCCTTGCTGCAATCATGCCTCTCCAGCGCCTGTTCGCCTCTCAGTGAAGGCCTTAAAATGCCTCATTGATGCCCCCGCCGCCTTTATCTCGCGGAGTTCGAGTTCTTACAGCTCTTTAGGAACTTCTTCCTTGTATGCCAGCAATCTGTACTTCTTCCACTCTTCCTCGAGCAACAGCTTCTCAGAATCTTAGTCCTCGAACTCCTCGAATCAGGCTTGAGGCGAAAGCGCAGCATATTGGATTGAGGCAAGCAATTTGACTGCTTTTACTTTGTCGGAGAGAATCGGACTAGGGAGTTCCAGGAGTCTTTCCATTCGCAGCTGATGCGAAGGAGAGAAAACAATGTTAAAGTGAACTGTTGAGAATTTAGGGCTGTCTATAGACATGTTATATCTATTAATTAAGCGTCTCCCAAACAATGAGAACAACGAGTGAATCGCTGAGAATCACTCACAGAAAAATAGATCTCTTGCTTGAACGCTCAACCTCTCTTTCCTGTACTCTGCATGACTTTTCTTCTTTTCCTTTTTCTGCTTTTCTTTGTGTCCTAAGTTAAAGTGATGCTCTTATCGAAGTAATGTATACTCAAGATTATTGCAACTTTCCTGCTTTATGGAACCTGTCTACCTTGTACCACAATGAACAAACATCATGAATATTGCTAGTGGTGACAACAGCTTAGTGAGTACAAAGTGTAGAAGACGCAATACAATACTATTTGCTGTAATCAATAAAATTCAACGAAATAATAACTCTGAGAAAGCTATAATAAATTTAAGAAAAATGACCAAGTCAATAAATAAATATATTGAATGAATTTTCTTAACAAGTGAAGAGAATTGAATTACAAACCAAATATAGACTTGCAAAATTGTTATAAAATTGTAACAGAATTAGATAGGAGGTGAGGTACGGATTACCGAATTTACTTAAGGTCATTAGTTCCTACCCACGGTGTTTTGCATATTTACGAACTATGTCTTTCAAGATACAAAACCTCGAACATATTTGTATTAGCACTACACATATAGGACTCAATCGAACTTTTCCTCAAACTGGCACACTTAGAAATTTAAATAAAGAGAAAATTGAAGAAAAGAGACTCTTTTTTTCTGACTTTGAACATAGAGAGATTGAAACAATTTTTTAATCACAGAAACGTTGTGTATGCTTCTCTCAAGTAAAGAATAGTTTATTTCAATTTATATAGATTGAAATGACATGATCTAAAGAGACATATTCTTTCGGACATGTCTATTAAAGACAGAGAAAAGCTACCTCAAAAAATGATCCGAAGAAACATGTTCTTTTATTGCTCACTTTTGTTAAGCCATTAACCCATAATTTCAACACAAAATTCATTTGAAGTCATGTTTTTAATCGAAATAAAAAAGATTCACGAATGAATAAGGATTTTAACGAGTGCATGCGCACAATTTAGCGGTTGAAATCTTTGGCTTGAAATAAGAAGATCAATCGTGTGATCAGATCCACTTTCAAGATTATCTCAACTAACAATTCACGAAAAATAACCTCGATAGACATTACTTCCAAAAAGACCTTGGAACCCATTGATCAGATCAGGATCCCTACTCACCAATCACATGACCCGGGCCATCAGTCCCTTTTAAGAGCATATGCCAAAACATAGAAAAAGAAAAAATTTGAGAAAATAATCCAAAAATTTCTAAATGGCGATCGACGAAGGGATCCAGGGGAAAAAGGAAAAAGGGAGGAAAGAAAAAAAAAGGAAAGAGGAAAGAAAATATAGGAAAAAATTTAGAAATCTTTTTTTAATTATAAAAATCATCCACGCTAGTGTCGATCATGCCACATAAGATAGCTGGTGCTAACTGGACTGTCACATTAGCAATTTCTGACTAAAATTAGCCCGAAAGATGACAGGGTACAAATATCTAAATTGGATATTTTTCAATACTTTTTCAGACCTATTGCCAATAGTAAGTAGCAATCAAAAATTTGTATCCATTTTTCATGATTTTATGCATTGATTAGATATATTATGGCAAATTCTTCAGAAAAAAATTCTATCTTCCACATTGGAATCTGATAAGTGAAATTTCAAGTAAGTGTTTCTATAATTTTCTTATGTCTGAAGAAATTATTCATCGAAATAATGAGTCACCATTAATATCGACCCATCTAAGATGTTAAAAGATTTATGACTAAATTTGCAAATCGTTAAAAAGTTTATGACTAAATCAGCACCATTAAAAGGTTTTGAATTGAATTAGTCGTCATACAATAGGTTTAGGACTAAATTGGCACACTTGAAAGGTTTAGAATTAAATTTACTGCTTTATAATATGTTTATGATTTTTTGGATAATTTTCCCGAATTATTTCTTTTTTGATGCTTTGGCATTTATTGATTGGAAAATCTAGATGTGCCCTTAAATGGGACCGGTGGTCTAGGTCATGGGTTCCAAAGTCTAACCACGTGAGGACTCGAGTTCGGCTGGTCCAAACCCATCCCCGATGACCAAGATCTCTAGTCCGGTAGCCATGGACTTTGGACAGGAGACCCCGGTCTAACTTTCACGCACCAAGTTTGGTTGTCGAGGACCCAACCTTAGCCTTCCCTCGAGCGCCGAGTCTGGGGCCTTGAGAGGTCTGGTCTAGCCAATAGCCACAAGCCCCCGTTCGCGTAATCAGAATTATTCACGATGGCGGTTGAGGTCAAAGAAACTCAAAAAACAAGTCCCGTGTTTCGAATCGCAATCTATCTTTCGAAAGACAATTCTCATTTATCCCTTTACCCGAACAGGTGAAATTATTCTCCGACGAGTCGCTTTCCTGCGAAAGAATAAATCGACCGTTAAATGATTCATACGGAGATTCCATTGGAAAGGCATTTTCGGAGCACTTGTAAAGAGAATTGATAATAAATAAATGAAAAACGTCCTGATTACAAAAGCATCACACGCCTCCTCTCATCTTTGCCCTCTCAAATAGGGGTGAGCAGCAATCTAGGGTCAATCCTGGATTGGCCCAAGTCGGCCGGTCCTATTTTAGTTCTCAGAAGGATGGGGCTGGTCCTTGGTCCTGGGACTTGCATTGTGAGAGTTGGTACTCGGCCTTGGAACTTTATGATTGGTTCAACCCAGACCAACCCTATATATATTCTTTATCTCTCCTCTTCTTTTTTTGCCGTTTAAAATAGAAAGCTAAAAACTCTATTGTCTATCTTTTTTTTTGGTTGAATGTTGCCTCTCTTTGCCGAGCTAAGTTTGCTCACCTCACGAACGCAGCTCAACAGCTTCGTTGGTGACATCGCTCGCCTCTCTTAACACGTCTCATGAACATAGCTCGCTCACCTCTCTTCCCTCGCCCCACGAACGCAACTCAATTGGTAAATTCCCAGTCTTAGCTTGATTTGAGAGCTTCAAGTTCATGTGAGTTCTCGATTTATGTTGGGTATTTATTTTTTCAGTTAGCTTCTCGGTTTGTGTTTGATTTGAGAGCTTCAAGCTCATGTGTATTCATATTACCCCTTTCGCTTCCCAGTTTAAGCTTGATCAGAGAGCTTTATGCTTGTTAGAAAAATATTTTTTTTTATTTTTGGCAAATAGAGATTTATGCTGTTGCTTTATCTTAGATTTCCGTTTGATTTTATACCGATGTTCACAATTTGGTTGCTCAATATCGCATTATAGATGTATATGTAATTTCAAATAGTGTGTCTATCCTTTCAAAAAATGAAACAAAAAAAAAAATCAGTTGGTCCTGGGTTGACCCTGGAATCGGACCAAACCCATAGAGTCGGTCTAGTCCTCAGTCCCAAGGATTAGATGTTGGATCGGCCCAATCCGGACCATGCTTACCTCGACCGACAGAAAAGCCGGTGGCGAACTCGTAGATACGCCCATCCGAAGATCCCCGCTCCGTAACTTCACACTACCGAATATGAAACAGAACCAAAAAAAAAATGAAATCCCGTTTCCCGCCAAAACCAAAAAACCGCTCCCTCCCTCCCTCTTCCTCTCTCCTCGACTCCTTCAGACACGGTTCTTTTTTGTCCGTCCAGACACATTCATCGGATCCGTCTAGGGTTTCCTCCGCCGCGAGCAACGAGGCGGGTGGGTTGCAGAGCCCGAGCAAGGGAAAACCATGCCGGACTTGGCCAACAACAGCAATCCCTCCCTCTCCTCGCCTCTCGCCGTCGCTCACCCCGGCGGCGGCGGCGGCGGCGGCGCCGCGGGGGCTGGCCTCAAATCGGCCCCGAGGACCCTAGCCGGGGTCGTCCCCGACCGCGAGCCGGCGCGGGAGAGGAACCCGCATCCGCAGAACGGAGGCGCCGCGGCGAGGAGGCACGCGGCGAGGACGCTGGGGGATTACGTCGGGGACTGGGCCGCGCGGAAGGCGGGGTCGGGCGAGGCGCGGTCCCGGTGCTTCCTCCCGTTCCTCGTCGGCGCCAAGAGAATGGTGAGAGCTCCGGTAATCTCTGTTCGGTGTTCGTTATTTTTCTTTTCTTCGAGTGTTCTCCTTGCTTGTTGGTTGGAGCTGAGTCGGTGGGGAAATGTGCCTGATTCTGCAAATTGATGGAGTTCTTTTGGGTTGTATTCATCGTCTTTAGCAGTTGCCAAGGATCTACGTTAGGATAAGTATTGTATATGCCTGAGACTTACTGGTTACATGAACCATGGTAGGACATTAACCAGGTACTGCGGCTTCTGATCACTTTTTACTGTACTAATTGAGTCGCCGCAGCATAGGTCTTTATATGGGTCAATTTTCGAACTATAGAGAAAACCCTATTTGCGAGCAACTTAATTAATTCTGCAGCAACAAAGGAGAAGTGCTACAATGATTTTTCTGCCAGTCTCTGTTCTTTTTTTTTATGAATTATAGAGCAAGAGAGGACTTCCAGTCATAAGCATGGTCTTGTTCGAATGACCTTTCACTGCATGTCAGGCAAAATGCGTCATTTGCCATCGTTTTGTATTCCCCGATGAGGAGTTGCATTGTGTAGTTCGCGGTTGTAATGTGACCTATCACTCGTCATGTGCAAAGGAAAGGCTTGGGGTATCCAATTTGAAGAATTTCAAGTGTCCTCAACATGTAAGTTCTCTTTTTCTTCCACAATTTAATGCTTTGCCAAATTTTATTTATTTTTTTATTTAGCTAGGTACATGTCGTTTTCCTTTTTGCATGGTCTACGAGTAATTTTTTTGTTGTATACATTCTTGTTCTATTCGTGAAGGCATGCTTCATCTGCAAACAGAGACCACCACACTGGCGATGTGTGCTGTGCACAATAGCCTCACATTATAAGTGTGCAGCATGGCCAGAAAAGGTGATGCATTTGAAGAATCCACCCGGGCGAGCTGTCTGTTGGAGGCATCTGACTAATTCACGGTTGGTTAAGAAGGTCAATCTCTTTGCTTCATCAGAGAGGTTATTTTTCTGGTGAAGCTATTTGACAAAACCACTTTAGGATCTTTTCATTCAAAGAGTATGAAGCTCTAACAACCCTTTTCATGCTACTCCACAATATACTAGTTTTAGGCGATATCCAACGGTTCAAATATTCAAAATTTCCAACCCATTTTCCTTTTTTTCCACAATCAAGTTACCTTGAATTTTCCTTTAGTTTATCTGTATTTCGTTCTGAAGATCTATATTATTCCTATAGTTTACTGGTCGGGTTGGCTGACAGGATTACATATTTGTTGAATGAGCAGCATGCTGTTTCGACATCAGACATAGAGGTCAGCCATTACAGAACTTTGATTATTAAGTTATATGGGGTAGTTTTATGTATTATGATTTAACTATGGCACCTAGTGAACATTAAAACTCATATGTATGGCATGGGATTGAAATCCAATGAAACTGCACTTCCAAAGAACAATAGTAGAGAATTATGCATGGGCTTAATAAATTTTCTGTAAGGTGTTTCCTGAATGCAGTCATTTTGGCTTTCATGAACACCATTTTTAGATCTGTGGAGTGTAAGGAGACATCCATTGTGGTATTGTTATACATATCTAATTCCTGTGAACTAAATTGAATATACAAGCACTACTGGCACTTAGTATTCTGCGTGCTGCATCTACTGACTGAAATGGTGATAAGGTATGTCTCCCTCGTTGAGGCAGTGGAACAACAGCTATGTGTGCTCTAATCCTCTGTTCTTTCATTTCTTTTGACAAGATTACCTATTGTTTTATCAACAAAAGTCTTTACATCCTAGTTTTTTTATTTCTACAGCTGCCATGGAAATTGCTGTTTTCACGTATTATCACTTTGTTCCTACATTGTGGTTAATGTATATTCCTTAGAACTGATATTGAGGGCAGCTTTTGTAACCATGGTGTCTATTCTACTTGAAATAACATTAAATAGTCTTTGGAGACAATTTACATAGCTGTTATAAACCAAATCTTGCTTATCCTGCCCTAATATGCATGCGGCCCAACACTATTAACCTTAGCTTTTATGTTTGATCATTTTATGTTCATCCAAGTTCTGCTAGATAGCCATATAGCAGTAAATAGACCAGTTCTTTTGCAGTCTAGTGTCCAAATGATTGGAAGTTGCATATTGATCTCTCTTTAGTGTTACATCTGGGATGCTAACCTTTATGTACTTGCTACTGTAGGAAATTTTCAGTCGCTTACCAACACCTTATGATGAAGAGGAGTTTAAGTTTGACATAACAATGAAAGACATGATCGAAAATAAGATGGAGCCACCTCCATACGGGCATATCAGGCGAAGTATCCTTTGTGTTGCATTGTGCTGTATTGTTTAGAGTAGCATGACTTGGTGATGTTGGCAAGTACAGTCAAAATGTTATGGCAGAGAATTCAGGATGACAAAAGATACGGAGGATCCATACTGGTTGATGTTTCATTCACCCGTCATTATTGCAGTCATCACTCATTTGATACTAGCCTTTACTGGAATCAGATATATATCTAATCAGGAAGAAGCGTGATGATGTTGGTGATGGTATTGGATGCTCAAGTTGCAGTTCCATGTGCTCTGATAATTGTGTGTGCAGGTATTAGTAGGGATCTTTTTGCCTACTCCAGTGTTACCACCATTCTTCCTGCACTCGTATTTGGGATCTTCGGCTCATCCAACATTAAAAGCAATCCAAGAATTTTACAGTTTGCAAGAATTATACATTAATTCCATTTAATTTCTACACACGTAGCTTTATCAGTGATAGCCTTAGGCTGGGTACCTAGGAACAAACACTCTAAACTCTTAAATTGTAGCATATGTCTCCTTTCATCAATGGTTGAAAAGCAGCTTAATTAAATTCTCGTGTGCTTCTCCATGCTCACAGAGCAAGGAAGGAGAAATTGGGGATGCATGGGGAGGTTACTGCAACAGTCCCACATTTAGCTTCTTTACTTACAAAATCCAACAGCACACTCTTCCTATTATTATCAACACATTTTAGAAGGCCTCGGAAATAAATTTGAGACCAGAAATCAAGTTCTTCCATCTCAACTGATTGATAGGATTTTCGATCTATTTGATAAATGTGCATCTTGTATTGTTCGTGCGTCTCATGACTTAAGGGCGTTTTATGGGTAGCCGGGCAGACTGCAATGGTGCATCCTAGAATGCTTTTGTTGATTCACTATTTTGAGTCCTAGTGCTGTTCTAGTCTTTATTAGGATCATTTACGGTGCAAGGGATATGTGACGTTAATAACAATAGTGTAGAAATTGGTCAATGACAAACTACCAATTCGCTGATAGTGATGTCACTGAACTGCTTCAATCAGCTTAAGGTGTGGAAATTTAGTCTTGCATGAGATTATCTGGTCATTTGGACTCTAACAATGGTGTACTCTAGGAGTGAGCTAGGAGTGAGCTAGGAGTGAATGTGACTCAAAACTTTTTGTAAAGTTTCTATTCTGATGCTATGCTTTATCCATTACTTGTGTAGCATTCTTTTATTTGAGTTCTGTCCCTGCCAATGATGCATATATAATTTTTCATATAGAGTCCAATGCATAAGCTGCTCAAAGGCTTGTCGTTGCCCAGAAAATTGCAATAACAGGCCATTTCGAAAGGACAAGAAGATAAAGATTGTTAAGGTAAGATAGCATCTTCAGTTATGCCGAATTAGTTTATCTGTTGAGTATATCGTTTCTAAGAATGAGAAGATATATTATTTTGCGATAGTACTTTCTGTATATGATGACTTAAATGGAAAATATTATTTTCCATCTCAGACAGAATTATGTGGTTGGGGTGTAGAGGCAGCTGAATCCATAAATAAAGGGGAATTTATCGTTGAATATATCGGAGAAGGTAAACAATGTCTGCGGCCAATATCATTGGTGTTTTTCTCATCTTTTTTCTTGCCTGGATTTTCGGTAGTCAAGATCATTGGTGTTTGTCTCATCTTTATATTGGTGACGTTTATGTGACGTCTATGCCAGATTGAATAGAGGTCTTTTGTTGTTTCATTTTGTTGTTAATGAAGATTTTATGGCCTGTTTGGTATATGGAAGTTTTCAAAATTTTCATTTTCATTCTCATTTGAGAAAGACAGAACACCATGAACATGTGTTTGGGATGGTTTTGGAAATATTTTCAATTTAAAATGCGGTAGTTTTATTTAATGTATAGGCCGGAGAAAAGAAAACACCTTTTTCCAGTTTTCACAATTTTAGTCAAAACAAGATTCCCATGTTTCATTCTGGATTGAGTTGGTCTTCTCAATGGCAACTGCAACTTCTTATCTCAAAATGTAAAGGAAAAAAGTTTATTCCATCTAGTAGAATAATTCCTTGTGTAAAACAGAACACCTCAACACAAAATGTGCAAGCGACCCCAAACTTAGAGAGAGAGAGAGAGAGAGAAATGTCCTTCCCTTCAGTGGAGTTGAGTTGCCTATGTCTCAATTAACTCGTGATAGAGAGAAGTGCTTGACCATTATCACATACTCACCATTGCCACATTTTTGGAGAAAGCTTCCGCTTCAAGGGTTTTGTTATGTCAATTGCATAAGATCTAAAGATCAGCGAAGCATCCTGTACGTTTCTTTTAGATGAAAAGACAAGATAAGGAAAGAGAGAGTTGAATTAGAAAAACAAAAGAAAAATTTTCTAAACAGTTGTTCAGGGAATTAATTTTGGTTTAGCGATTTATGTTAAAATTTAAGGCAACATGTATTTTTTTAGTGTAACTTGATGGAACCAGAAATTTGAGAACATATACATTTTTAAGATTTGCATAGCTATTGAAACTTTTCGGTGACCAAACATGTGTTTAAAGAAAGCAGAGAACTAAAAGTAGACAAAAACTGTTTTCATTTTCACTTAAAGGAAAAACTGAAAACCTTTTCATGAATCAAATTGGCCTTTACGGGATATTCAACTTGATCATTCATTTCCTCGAAGACTAAAGACATTGGGTTGGGGCCTCTTAGAGATTTTCTTGAACTTTGTAATATCATCAGTCATTTATCCAGCTGCTTTGCTATTATTTACTCATAATGAGCTTTCTTATTTGTCTACTCCTAAATAGTTGATTGTTTAGATGTTCTTCAATTTACTTACTTCATCAGTCACCACCATCTCTGCTTCAGTTATCGATGATGCTTTATGTGAAAAAAGGCTTTGGGATATGAAATTCAGAGGCATGAAGAATTTCTACATGTGTGAGGTACGGAAGGACTTCACAATTGATGCAACATTCAAGGGAAATGCATCTCGCTTTCTTAACCACAGCTGCGATCCTAACTGTTTCCTGGAAAAGTGGTTAGTTTGGTCAATTTCGCTACATGATTCTATTGCTGTTTTGTCATTTCTAGGAAAAGAATTTCTTAAGGTGCTGTTCATTATATATGTTAGCATTAAAAAGTTTCCCCCGTGCTTTTGTCAAACCAAACAATTTTCCTGGCTAAAATGTTTTAGATTCAATTTTACCTGGTCTATCAACTGAGAGGCGCATACTAATCTCTACAGAATGTTATATGATGCCTCCCCAGTCCCCCTAGTGATTTAACATTCCAAATGTCATATTTGACTATTCTATTATGTGTTAAGTATAATTAATGTTAGACCAGCAACTGTCTTCTTTGAGGCTTCTTAAATAAAGTGAGACTAACTTGCATTATTTAGGAGTCTCAAAAATATATTTCTGGCTTGAGCTTTATAGTATAGACAAACTAAAAAATTGCAGGCGCCACCTGGCCTGGGGAAAGGCATCAGTAAAATCATAGTTTCATATGGCTGTTAGTTTCCCCAATCAGTCTGAAGTCTCTTCCTCACTTTCAGCAATCCTCTCTTGCCTCCAGTTCATCTAATTAGACATGAAATATACAGTCTTGCTACATGTTTGGTTTTATTGTCTTTCCTGTTGGTAATGGCTTGTCTCTCTGATGGAAATACCATTTCACAATCTTTGAGCTGTGGGACTCAATAAATTGACTTTTTCAGGCAAGTTGAGGGGGAAACAAGGGTGGGTGTTTTTGCGGCTCGGTCAATAAAAGTTGGTGAGCCGCTAACATATGATTACAGGTTAGTGAGGCTTTAATGATTGAAAACTTAAAAAGTATGATCCATGTTTTTTGCTTGTGCAGCCTTGAAATAACATTCATAGATGTACTTTTAACTGACTCCACTTAAACTAAATAAGTGAAAAGCCCCTGCAAGGGCTTCTTAACTTTTCTCTTTCCCTCTTTAAAGATTTGTACAATTTGGTCCCGAGGTGGAGTGCTGCTGCGGATCCCAAAACTGTCAAGGATATCTGGGAACCAAAAAGAAGATTGCCAAGTTAGAGGTGTGCTGGGGTTCAAAACGCAGAAGAACAGCGGCTGCTTGTGTAGCCATTTTGACTTTGTGATGTGCCGCAGGCCTTTGTTTGCCAGAATCATCGATGTTGTACATTCTTTACCATGAGCAGAAATAAATAACGAGCATGACAAGCCAAAGAGACTCTCAGTCACAGTCACCAAGACGAAGCTTTCCTTTCAGAGAATATGAGCCCATCCTGCAGTTCTTGGATGGATTTGCGTGAGTACCGGCCATCCGAATCATGTATGAGAGATTAGTTGTTTTTTTCAGTTTAGTTTGCACTTCCCTTGTATTCTTGTAAGTTCCTATAGTCTGAATTTTTGACTGGACCTCCAGCTAACTGTAATTTGACTTTGATCTGATGATGAGTGGTGATATTATGATTTGTTCAAATTCAGGCATTTGATTTTAGTAACGATCAAGTGATCGTGTGATTCTGTACTTGTCTAGCACCAAAAGAAAATTTGTGGTTTTAGCCACAGTAGTCGTTTGATGTTTATGCCGGAATTCTGCTATGGAGTAGCTGGAGTTGTGCATATACAATAACTAGCAATGACCATACTTCGGTTTAGGAACGAATTGAACATATATGACCTTGCATTTTGAAAAATTAATTATACACAAAATAAGTCAGAATTATCACAATACGATTTTTATTAATAATGAACGGTTTATCAAATTAAACAGTGTGATTATATATGATCAAATAAGTTACAAAACTACAAATATGATTGGTCGTATAAGTTAAAAATTAAGTTTGTACTGTATTTATAGTCGAAACTTAATATATATCAAATGATAGATGACAAAAACATTAGATGAAATATTGTAGATCGAATTAATTTTAAATATTTTATATCATAATTAAAAGTCAATTATGATCATGGTTTCAATTGGTAGATAGTTTAAGTCTACAAAATTTTTGATATTGTGGATCAATAATTGAATTATGACCATTGTATTTTTACATGATATTGTTTTTATCAATTACCTATTTTAAAAAATATCGATGACTTATAAAGAGGAATGACAGTTACTAATTGCAGTAACTAAATATCTAAATAAGTGGCGAAAAAAGTAAATGTACTAAATAAAATAATGCTTATATGAAAGAATCAATGTTAAATAAGAGTTAATATGACTTTTAAGTTTACTAATAATGATTACAGAGTATTCATTTTAATATAATTTATTATTATAAAATAATGATATCGAAAGAGTGCTAGTAAACTATATATCAGACACTATAATTATGGTTAGACACGAAATAATTATAATTTTCATTCACAAGTATAAATATTGTGCATGATCATTTTTCAGAAATATGATTATAATAGAAATGAGGCTTAGATGATAATAATGACGAAAATTCCAAATGCATTTTGAACATTTTGTTATCATTCTCAATTTATTTCCTATACTGTTCTAGGAAATCCAGTAAAGATAGTTTTGAAATAACTTCTATTTTTTAAAGAAAGTTAGATTATAGCTTTTACATGTTGTTCAAGAATTTGAGGGCCCACTTGGTCCAAAATGACCGACGTAGCTAAGGACTATTTTCCTCATTATTAAGACCCAATTTCCTATATTGTAATCTTCTTAAAAAGCACAAGTGAAAGATTCATTTAATTTATGGAAACAGTTCATAATATTTTATGTGTGACTATTTATGATTTGCCATATATAAGTTGTTTAACTTTTTCAAGACAACTATTTTATTATCGTGAACAGATATCTATGGGTAGAAGAATTTATCATATGTACTTTGTAGACATAATTACAAATTGAAAATCATACTTACTCTTAATTTATATTGGTTCTTTTATAAGGTTCTCTCTCGTGCTTGCCTCGTCCAAAAACCGCAATAGGACTAGATATTCGCTTCGCATCGAGAGATATGATAAAGATTCATATAAATAGGATTTTCGATAAAAAATTGTCTTTGGGATAATTGTGTAGAAAGAGAAACCAAACGAGGAAGTATTAAAATCTCCACTAAATTAACTGTCTTCGGGATATACATGAAAAAAAAATGCTTTGAAACATGAATATTTTCTTATTAAACACGCTCTAAAGAATGTGCGAGATCACAAACAAGACCCTCTTTCCATTGCATATCGCCACATGCCGATTGCCAAGCTAAACCCAAGGGAAGGCAAGAAGCACTCCACATAAGTTCCAAATTTATGATCCAGACAATACAAAGCTCGACTGGTTGCGTAAGAATTCGCGACGACGAGGAGGGCAAGTTTCTTTCAGCATGGGAGACATAAAGGAGGCTCAACAGGAAAGGATAAGAGAGAACCAAAAGGGAAAGAAATGCCCTCCAAACGATGCAAGCAGCAGCAAAGTCCAAAGCTTTTGTATATCATATCAAAGAAAAATACTGCAACGGACAGTGCTCATAATATCCTAATACTACTGTCCACCCAGATCGGCAATTCCTACGGGCCAACCAAGGAAACCTAAACAAAACACTGCTTTTCACTAAACAAAACAAACGCTGTCCAAAAGCTCCACGCTTCCCCAGGAAAAGGGGAACAGGAAATTAGACCAACAAGCAAAGCGAAGCACCAGATGATGACATCTCTGTCCATATCAGCCATCCATCAACAGTTACAGTAGCGTGCTTTCCTTTGCTTTTGACACTAAATGGAGCTTCATTTGCACACATGATTGCATCTCACAGAGAAAAAGATATATACAAGACCCATTCTATTCTATCCTATTCTATGCATAGCTTGGAAAGGGAGCTAGAAACTACGATTTTCATCGTGTTTTTGATTGGATTTGAACTTCGCATATCAAAAGAAAAAGGAGAGTTGAATTTCAATGGGGATGCCATTCAGTTTCAATTGCAACTGGTGCACTCAACTGGGTGAATGCTAAGCTAAATTAGAAGGAAATGCAGACTCATCTCTGCTAGATCAGCTTTGCGGTGCTTAATCTGCAAAATTCATTGCAGTTTCTTCCTCAAATTATGAGGAAACGGGGCCTCAGTCTTTCTTTTTCTTGGCATCATCATCTGAGGCTCTTCCAAGAATATGACAATGGAGTTTCCATGGACCCGTGAGAGAGAGAGAGAGAGAGAGAGAGAGAGAGAGAGAGAGAGAGAGAGAGAGAAATGCCCCTCCTGATAACATTCGGAAAACGAACTTTCTCACTTACACGATTAGGATAAATCCACACGAAGAAGAAAGAAAGAAAGAAAGAAGAAAGAACTGAAGAAGCGATTAGCAGAGTTGCAGATTGAGCCGTCCCGCCAATATCACCATCACTACCACTATCATCAGTCACTAATCTAGGGGGGAGAGAGAGAGAGAGAGAGAGAGAGAGACAGTCACGCATGTCTCGAAAAAAAAAACTCTCAAGAACTAGGCCTGGCTGAAAATTTGCATCGCTGCATTTTCACAAGTATGTCCTAGGAAAAAGAGAGAGAGATTAGAAAAAAAAAAGAAAAGAAGAATACTACTTGAACCCCACCCAAGATTGTCCTCGCGGCCGCCTTCTTCCGCCGCTGCCTCCGCCGCCGTGGCCATCGCCAGCTCGACCAACCCAACATTGCATAGACTTCGTTCTTTAATGGCGAACGCCACAAAGGCGGGCTCTTGTTTTCTTGAGTACAGTGGTGCAGTTCCAAGAAAAGACTCCATCTCTCAGAGCTCTCTCATCAGCAGCAGCAGCAGCAGCAGCAGCTCACGAGATCTGTACGATTCTCCTCTCTCTCTCTCTCTCTCTCTCTCCAAATTTCTTCACTCGCAAGGGAAGGTCGTTCTTCGCTGTGATGGGTTCTTTCTTGTCTCATGTGGAAATAAGCGTCAAAAAGAAAGCTTGTCCTTTTAATTTCCGGTGAGAGAAGACATGAGAGAGAGAGAGAGAGAGAATGGCTTTTGGGTGTGCCTGTGCGTGCGTGAGAGAGAGAGAGAGAGTTATTGTCTGCGTGTCTCAAGACATAGTGAGGCCAAGCAGAGCAAAACGTGACAGACAGAGAGAAGAGAGAGAGAGAGAGAGAGAGTGAGAGAGGGAGAGGTGTCGTGGCGTGATTTGGTAAAGGATCGAGGAGGGGAGAGGGGGGGATGGGGCGTTTGGATGGTCCCTCCTCGAACGAGAACCCAACCGTCCGAGCAGAAAAGCAAAGCAATGATCCGAAGACCTTTTTCCACTTGTGCTGCGCCTCAGAACCCACACAGAGAGAGAGGGAGAAGGAGAGGGGGGGAAGCCATTAAGCTAGATTTGCGCAAGCAAACCTCCCCTCCCCCTTTCTCTCTCTCTCTCTCTCTCTCTCTCTCTCTCTCTCTCTCTCTCTCCCTTTTCTCTTGTGTACCCTCCGATGTTCCTACTATTTCCACGTGCCGCTCCTAAGTCGGGAGAGAGTTTCTTACGTGAATCTTGTCCCGGAGCGGGCACACGGTAACGGTTTGGATGACGTGAGACCCGTCGAGACAATTGGTTGCCACTCGTTGATTCCATAATGCATTGAGTTGGACCCCTAACTATGCAACAACGCTTTCTAAATAGACATGATCGTGTGCATTAGACCCGAAAAGGGCCCCGAAGCGTAAATTGGGGGGGCTTAGATAAACAATTTCATTCTTGAGTCCGAGCTCGCCCCCGGCTCGACCATTTTATGAATGAATTTGAATATGTGTGCGTGTGTGTTCTCAAATTTTAGGCAAGCCTAGGTAAAGGAATTTTGGGCTCAGTATCTGGCCAAGCTTACTCATCCATCACCTATATTAGTAAATAACCTATTGCTAAGCAAAGGCACTCGATGAATGGTTTGGGGTTGAGGCCTTATGATATATCTAATATTTTAGCAGGTTTTTGGTGTTGCCTGGGGTAAATTACGTATGTGATCGATCCCTGAGATTTAGTGAATTTTGCAATAATGTTTCTGAATGATTATTCTAATCATCTGATGCTATTTGATTGCGCTAAAGCAGACAATTATAATCTTTGTGACAAGATGATTGATGATTGAGAAAGGAATCATTACTCAATTTTGGATTCATGAAGTTGATGTTAGACAATGACGGGCCACCCATCTTGGATCAGATCGGTGGCGATGAAAGGGTCATCACCTCCAAATTTGAGGATGTCAAATCTGGTCGAACTCATTGATGTGCAAGATTTGGTTCATCTCAAAGCAACAGAAGTTCAGCTAGTTCAAGCTTGCGGCCATGGAAGGGCCATGGAGCTCGATGGCCATGGGCACCGACAGCCGAGCCTTTACATTAGGAGGTGCTAGATCTGGCTAAGCCGTGACCGTGTTAAAGATCAACTTGAGAGAAGGCAGGGCGGGGCAAAAGCACAACTTGTGGAGTTGAGTGATAGTGGCATTTGCAAAATCAATCGCGAAACCAAGGAGGTGTTAGATTTGGTCCGTCGAGGAGAGAAGGGACAAAAGAAAATAAAAAAAAAAGAAAGAAAATAAGAGAATCAAAAAGTTGATAAAATAAAGCAAAAGGGTGTCATCTCAAGTAAATTTGTTCGCGTCATATTGTCTATCATAACATGCACGATGCTCGGCGCTGACTGAACCACCACTTTAGAAATTTCATATGAAACTTAATCGGGTGGGCTTTATTATATTTTCGCACGAAAGTTTTAGATTGGAAGATTTAGGACCAAACTTAAAATCCATAAAATATATTTAAAACAGAAGCACGTCATGTCTTTGGAACTTCATCTCAAGAGTGGGTCGTGTCACTTCTAATAGCAAATCAGGAAAATGTCGCTAATGTGAAGAACCCGGGAGACAAAATCATGAAAGAAAAAGAGGGGGTTTGACAATCTGTCCCAATTTATAGTTTGTTTTTTTTTTTTTTTAAAGGATATCTATGATTGGCACACGAGAATTTTCAATGTTACCATCATTATGTCAATATGTTCCATATTGTAATTTAGAAATTTGGGATGACCCACCACCATTCTTAATGGTACGTATTCATCTTAAAGCACATTATATATACTCACTTCGGATGCTTCGATACAACATGTGATTTCCAATCAAATAGTCGAGATAAGTAAACACGTTGAAAAAGTCATTTTCCTCGTAATTAAATTTATTTGATCACGGCGAACATAGAAATTATGGTAAATCGCGCTCGGTGGAGATAATTAGAGTTGTCGTTAATCATTAAGATATATTTGAAGGTTACATTCCCTTTTATCAGAAGATTTTGATACATTAGTTGCAAGCATGTATGCACATTAAAAATATATAGGTTTGTGATGATGCGTCGAGTTTACTAAATTACATATTGATTTTAGTATTAAAGGATCTTTTAAAGACGAAAGCCCATAATGCATTTGACTTTATGAAGAAGATTTCCATCATTATATAGTCACTACTGATAAGATAGACATCTCAACAGGAATCTTTGCAATGATATAGGAAAAGCTCTCTCAACATGAGTGACACGGCAACTAAAATAAGAACAGTTTTCAAGCAATAATGTAAAAAAAGCTCTCTCAACATGAGTGCCTTTCTGATAATTTTTCAAACAACAAAATAAGAAAAGCTTATGATATCAATTATTGCCTTTGTTGAGTAACCAATACTTTTATCGAGAGGAAGTATTACAATTAGGGTTTTGTTACTGATGCTACTTGAGCAATCGAATAAAGAAATGTTGCAGCTTTCAATGCACCGATTATTCTCGTGACGTGCACGATTAATACTCATTAAGTATGTTGAAAAAGTGTTCTCGAGGGCAATTGCTAACGAACTTGGGAAAATAACACAGATGGTTACTGAATTTTGCCCCAATGTGCAATGTGGTCCCTAAACTTTTAATTTATTCAATGTGACTCCTTAACTGTAGCTCAACGTGTAATGTGATCTCTAAACTGTTAATTTATTCAATGTGGTACATAAAATTTTGGTACACGTTTAACTTGATCTCTAAAATATATGAAAATATTCAACATTCCCCAGAACTTGAATTAATAGAAGGATGTCATTGTACATTTCATATAATTCATAAACTAAATTGAACATGTACCAAAAATTCATAAATCATATTGAATAAATTAAAAATTTAATGATCATATTGTTAATTGGTTTAAAGTTCATAAATTATTTCTGTTCATATCGCAACGAAATTCTACTGATGGAGTATGTTTGATAAGTGATAGTAGACTTTTATCGGGCATTTGATGACCCTAATTGGTCCTTGGCATGTAAAAAGAAGAAACCCAATTCCTGCCCCCTTCTCATCTGCTGCAAACTGCAAATTTCTGTCCAAGCCTTCACATTGATCCGTCAAACGGACGGGAGTCGGTCGGCGTCGCTGTCATCCTTAATTCACACAGAGGACGCAAGCTCCTAAGCTTGGGCGATTCCCTTTTCTTTAATGAACTGCCACAGCAATAAATGAAACCGCCCCTTTACGATTTCTATGGACATCTGCAAGTAATCGGGGACCAGTAGCGACAGGTGATCTTTAGCCTGTCGCTACTGCTGCTGATAGCCACATGGGGGGGTAAGGTGACTTGTCATGTGCTGATTAGTAACTCCACGCCCTGTAACTCTGCCACTCCTTCTGATATATAGATACACATATATATATATAGAGAGAGAGAGAGAGGTGTATGTATGTATGTATCTATCTATCTATTTGATTCGTTTTTATTTCTTTTTAACCTACTAAAAATCGTGAGGGGGTATTTTTTAGATACATTTATAAATATATTCGTGAAACAGCATGATAAAGGCGAAGGGTCTTTGAATTTCTTTTCAATTTTTTTAGCATTTGAAATTTAGAATTTTTACCTTGATATTGAGCACTTTGAAGTCTTTTAACACTTTTATAGAGTCTGTGGTTATTTGAGGTATTTGCAATCGTGTAAATTTTGCGAATTCTTTGGGAGAAATGATTTTCTAGTTATGTGGGCGAGAATGTGAAATAAGGGCATCTTGAATTTGGAAAATTGGAGCAAACGGGCTTCAGTCATATGTATGGAAGAAATTTAAGGAGAGGAGAAATGGAGGGAGAGAGAAAAATTGAGGCGACTAGAGATGAAAATAAGGTTAGTTGTTTTATTATTGTTTAGGAGAATACAAAGAAATATAATTTGGAAAAATAAGTATTTGGGTGACATTGATCATCCGCGACTAGTTGTGTAGATAGACAACTAATTCTTTCGAAAGCATGTAGTAACATCAATTTCTCTAATGCTAAGGTATAACTTGAACAAATCCGAAAACTTCTTACAAAATCAATGGACGTATCATGACATGAAAATAGAACGGAGAGAGAGATAGGGACCCCGACATTGTCTTGCTTTGTGCCTATGGTAGACATGTCGGGTATTAAAAGTGATCGTTGCACGGGCGCCGGCCCGGGCCACCCAAACTTGTTTCCCGAGCTTGACAACTGCAGAATAAGTATAGCATTTTTCGGGCCCGGCTCGTGCCCAAAGAACCAAGCCGATCATGTTAAACTAGATACCATTGTCCAAACCCATCCAAATTGCCGTCGGGCTCACTAGTCTAGTCAAGAGGAAAAAGAAAGAAGCTTTCGCAAAAGAGGCATGAGCAAATTCTTCCGTTTTCTCCTCTTCCAATAGTTTTTCTTTTTTTGGTCGGATCCTCTTCCAATAGTTCATTCTCACAATCCTTGATGATTCTCTTTCTATCCCTCTTCTTCTCCCAGCCCTGTAATCCATCTCTCCAAACAGAGCTCGAAAATTTGCAGAGTTAAGCTTTAATTATTCAACAGTGTAAGAAGAGTATTAGAATCATGATCTCAGAATATAAGCAATTCGAAGTCCTCAGAGACAATGAAAAGAAAACTTGACAATCTAACACCCCCTTTAAAATGCGTCTATGACTTACTGAAAAGCCTGTAACCAAGTAAAGACGCCATTGCCAGACGAACATTTGCACGAAATGACATCACATTCAGCCATTCAATCATGCAGATTCTGTCCGACTCGATGGTTATAGCTCACAAGTTTCACAATGAACTGGACTTAGGCAAATATTTCACTCGGTGCATTATCGTTGATATGGTTAAGATTTCCACGCTGTTGCCTAGCCACAGGTGGTATTTTCCTTCAGAAAAACATCGCCGGCACAGGAGTTCAGCGTATCATTGCAAGTTTATACGTCCACATCAAAATTCCTGGACCAGCAAGAGGAACTCTCCTTGTCGGCATTGCAAGGGTGCCATCACCTCTGGAGAAGCCTTCTCTTTGTGCTCAGCACGACTCCCTTGAACATAAGATTTTTCTCAATCAAATTGAAGCAATCCTCAGGACAAACCTTTTCAGCCACTTGGAGAGTCCTCTGAATTAGGTTGTCCCCATGAAGAAGAATCTGAGGTTCACCAATGGGCAGAAGACCATTATCCTGCCAAATAGACCATATTCAACAATTAGTCAAGACCAGATGAAAACGGCACATTCTGATCATAAGTTTTCAGTTAGATGCTTCTTGATTTTAAAATTCTAAAGGAATCTCGATTGTTCAAGTAAACAATCATCAGACATGGAATTTACACTGTTATAAGTAGAAGTCATCAGGAAAAAGAGTTCGAGGATCGATGGAAATGAACTGACAGGTCTGCGCTGGGAATGAACTGATAGATATGCTAATATGAACCAGGCCCTGCTTTGGTTGTGCTAATTTATCAGGATGAGTTATTTTATATGTTGGTTTAACATTAGAATCCATGTTTTCCAGTTCGAAATTGTATTCAGCAGATTGCAAAATGTACTTGTAAGCATTAATAAATAGCTCGACCATCACTACGACTAAATTTAAGTTTACCCACCCTTTTCTAAAATCTAGTTTAAGAAAAAAATGTCCGGAAAGTCTAACTATCCATAATACAGTGTTTTTTTAAGTAACTCAAAAGCTCAACACTCGGTAACCATCATTCTTTACATAAAAAAAAGTAGACTCTAGACTCTCAGAAGCCCTCATATTCTCTCCCTCCAAATATGATTAAATTGTCTGAGGGATAGCAGCAAGTATCAATCTGTTCTTTTTGTTATTTATCAAAAAAAAAATTCTTTTCCAAGACTAGAATTCTTTGCTGACATAGAAGCCTTAGCCCACTGAATGCCTTCAAGTCCCACCAATACAACATTCTGCAGCACTCAGTATGAGGCAATGAATTAGGATGTGGCCAACTGGCTAAGATATGCACTTACACAAAAAGCATCAAGCACATTGCAATCTACACTATGAATTCAAAAAATAGGTTACTCTCTTAAACAGCCTTCCAAATAAAGAAGGCAACTTTTAGAAATCTAGACTCTCTGATTCAATTTAGAGGGAAAATTAGGACCCCTTGGGCATTTGTTAGTAACAGCTCAGGATAGAACGATTTGGTCGAAAAAGTCATATTCTAGGTCAGGGTCCATCTGACTTTGTCCTCCCCCTGAAATACACAACTTAAATTGCAAGGAAAGTCAAAGAAGCTGTGAAAGAGTTACATTGCACCATCCTAAGCCAATAGAGCAGATATCATATTCCGTTGGAAGCCAATTCCATTTGTGGTAGAAATCATTCATAGCAACTTCGTACACTATGGCTGGACTAAATAGATCAGTAAAAAAGTTCATTTAAGGATGAAGTGTACGACCTCCAAAGCCAATCAATCCAAGCCTGGGCAAAGCTTTATTACTTGATCCAGCAAGATGAACAAAACCCCTATTACAAATGCGTTAGTAATTATTAAGCATTACTGTTGACACGCTTTCGACTTTAAGCATGTACATAAAAGTAGCAACCCTCAAAATAAACCTTGTCAACTTTAATGCCTGGAACAAATTTCTCCTTGTGCAAGCAGTCTACAAATGTCATGCTGGCTGTTGTTGACGTGTCTCCACAAATATAATGCTCCAAGAGATGTAATCCACTCAATCTGGGGTGGTTAGCAGATGTTGTCTATAGGCATATCGATAGGCCTTGATATTATCCAGATCAATAGATGCTAACCTTTTCCGGCAGATTGCATATTCCAGCTAGAACTGGACAATTGCTGTTAAAAAGTGGCCTAAAGCATCAAATTGCTGATGTTCAGGAATGGTAACTTGCATAAATCCTGCCAAAAACAAGTCCTATTGTAGTATAAGGTCCCTTCGTTAGTTGATGGCACCACATTCACATCCACGTTGTATATGCCTCATATAATGCCTTTGCAAGGTAACTATATAGTCAGGGACTAACTATATAGCCCACGTACCCAAAATAAGTGCTTCAAATTAACCTCAATGCTGGAAGTCTAACATAAAAAATAACGCCACTTCCCACATTCAAAAAATAAAATAAAATAGTCCACCTAATCAAACCAACCATAGTTGACACCGAATCATCTTATAAATCCTATAACTTTCAAAACAACTTAGATTGTCATCTAATGGATTACTCTCCCACAGTAGCAGGGTATGTAATTTAAATAAAATTAAGGGAGTGTCAGACTAATCTAACCAAAAACAGAGTTCGCCATCTGTGTATTGTTTTTGAAAAACAATGACAGTACCTTTCCAATTGGCTAATGATAAAGCGCATCCTTCAAACTGGTAATGCAATTTGTCATAGCAAACAAGCCCCAATACTTCTCTGTTTCAACTTATGTCGAATGAATCTGGCATAATGAAACCTTTTCGAGCGCATTAATCTCCTCGGTTAGTGGGTGCCTTGGAATGTACTGTTGAGTTACATAACCCTCTTTTCTCAGCTCTAAGAGAAGAATTTCCAGCATTGAATAAATATTAGCAGATTGCAGGTGAGTTTCATCAGCTGCAACAAATACATGGGTCATGTTGTCAACCTCAATCCAACTGCGTCCGGGTACCTTTTTAACTCCTCTTTCTTTCATTAAACTTCGAGCACCAAGGACACCACCCCAGTGGCCTGCACCAGCATGCACATTTGAAAACAACACGTAGTATCCAGAATTCTCAGGCTCCATTTCAAAAAGATGTCTTGAAGCTACTTCAGCGAGATCAACGTTGCCATATAAGTGACAGGCACCTAGCAATGTCCCCCAGACACCTGCATCTGGGGAAAATGGCATGCACTTTATGGTTTTAAAAGCTTCATCCAAGCGACCAGCTCGTCCGAATAGATCTACCATGCAGGCAAAATGTTCCATCTTTGCTCGAATCCCATACTTTTCTGTCATGCAACGGAAAAACTGTATTCCCTTATCAATTTGGCCTGCATGACCACAAGCAGATATTATAGTCAGAAATGTGACATCATCAGGCTGGATACCATTATCTTGCATTTCATAAAACAGTGAGAGACATTCTCTTAGGAGACCATGGCTTCCATAAGCAGCAATCATACTATTCCATGAAACTTCATTCTTCTCATCCACCATTTCAAACACACGGCGAGCAAATTCCAGGTGACCACATTTAGCATACATGTCTATGAGTGCAGTCTCCGCATAAATATCATGGCAAAACGAACATCTTGTCATGTAGCCATGGATCTCCTTCCCGTGATAGAGTGCAGGTAAGCTTGCACAAGCAGAGAGACCAGACGAAATGCTAACACTGTCATACTTGATTCCATTCAACCCCATCTCGCGGAAGAGTCGGATGGCTACTTCAGGTTTCCCGTTCTGGGAGAAGTTTGTGATCATTGAGTTCCAGCACACAACATCCTTCTCAGACATGCTCCTGAAGATTTGATGAGCAACATCCAGTTGCCCACATTTTGCATACATATCCGTAATTGCACTTAAAACATAACATCTGCCATCAAGACCACTCTTGAGAACATATCCATGCAATTCCTTCCCAAGTCTTAAAGTAGCCAAACCAGCACAAGCTGGAAAAATGCTGGCAAGAGTTACTGCGTTTGGATTTACTTTTCTATCAAGCAACAACCTAAAGATTTCTATAGCATCTGAATTCATACCATTAAGCACATATCCAGAAATCATGGCTGTGTAGATGACTACGTCATGACTGACTGTCTCTTGCTTAAACATCTTATATGCCAATTTCACATTGCGGCACTTAAAGTAAACATCAATTAGTGCACTTTTCAAGAACACATCCAACGGCAGCCCATTTCGAATAACATACCCATGGACTTCCTTTGCATGTTTCAGATTTGCCGATTCAGTAATTGAAGGAAGGAGGCTAGAAAAAGTAACAGAGTCTGGTTTGACACCATGATTTAACATTTCAATGAACGACAACAGAGCCTCACCCATTAGTCCATTTTGAACATATCCAGAGATGAGGGCATTCCACGTTACCACATCATGCCGCAGCATCAGATCAAACAACTTGCGTGCCTCATTTAAGCACCGACATTTTGAGTACATTGCCAACAAAGTATTGGCTACCGGAGAATCCGACTCCAACCCACATCTAAAAGCAAGACTGTGGAGCTGAGCACCCAAGCCGATCATCCCTTCCAGAGCACAGACCGACAAAATGCCGGCAAATGTTACCGAATTCGGCTTTATTTCACCTTTTCTCATCTCCAAAAACACTCCCATTGCGTTCCGCGAATCCCCATTCTTCAAATAACCATTGAGCATCACATTCCATAGAACACAGTCTTTATGAGGCATTTTGTCAAACATATCCCGCGCATCAGCTATGCAGCCATTCTCCGCATAGAACTTGATCACCGAACTAGCAACAAACATATCAACCTCCCCGCCCATCAAGTCAATCATGCCACGAACCAGTTTATAGGAAACAGACCTACTCAGACTCTCGCAAGCTTTGATCACGTACGGATACGTATACCTATCGGGGTAAATCCCGCAACCCAACATCTTGAAGTAGAACGACAATGCCAAATCGAACCAGCCCAACTCGGCCAACCCTCGGATCATCCAATTCCACGGCGCGGAACTCGGCACCTCCTCGAGCCGATAAAAACAGTCCTTGGCATCCAAGAAGTCGCCGCAGAGAACGTACATGGCCAGGAGCTTCGGACCCAGAAGGCCGCTCCTGCTGATGCCGCGAACGACCGACTGGGCATGGACTTGCTGACCTCTTCGAAGATCGCAAGAGCCGGAGCAGGTCCCCAGCACAGAGACGAAGCCGTGGCTGGCGAGAGTCCCCTCTACCCTGCGGTGCGATGAGAATGACGGAACTGCTACGGCAGGCGATGGGTCGACGACACTGGGAACAAGTGTGGCGAAGCATTTGCGGAACAGGGTGGCATGTTTTTTGTTCATGACGAGCACAATCGTCTTTCCATTCTGCCCGTGCGTGGGTGCCGGTGTGACAACCAAGTTTTGAACTGCGAGTCAGCAAGATGAGAGGGAATGCACAATTGAAGTCATTGTCTGAAATTTGGATTAAAAAAAAGGGTTAATACCACGAAAAACCCTAAACTGGTACACCTGTGACATATTTACCCCGAACTATTTTTTTGACCATAAAAAACCTCGAATTGGTGATACTTTGACAATGACAATTTACGAACATCTGCACAAAAACCGGCCCAGTAGCGTGTGACAATTTTACCCAGAACTAATTTTTAATATTATTTTTTATTTTTTCTTATTTTTTTTCTGCACCTTCAACTTTGGCCGATCGCCGGTTCGGCGACCGGCCAAAGGTAGAAGCCGGCGTGGGCCGCCCTCGCCCGACTCAGGCAGCCCTCGCCGGATCTGGCGAGGGCGGCCCTCGCCCGACGCAGGCGAGGGCTGCCCGACGCCGGCGAGGGCGGCCCACGCCGGCTTCTGCCTTTGGCGGTCGCCGGACCGGCGACCGGTCAAAGTTGAAGGTGCAGAAAAAAAAAGAAAAAAGAAAAAATTCAAAAAAATTTAAAAATAATATTAAAAATTAGTTCGGGGTAAAATTGTCACATGTGTACCAGTTTGGGGTTTTTTGTGGTATATTCAGGGTAAAATTGTCACAGGTGTACCAGTTCGGGGTTTTTTATGGTCAAAAAAATAGTTTGGGATAAATGTGTCACACATGTACCAGTTTAGGGTTTTTCGTGGTATTAACCCAAAAAAAAAAACGGCAAAAGGACACTATAAGTGCCATAACTTGTGTACGGAGATCACTTTGGTACCATAACTTTTTTTCGGATCACTTTAGTGCCAAGTCGGAGGAAAAACGATCACTTAAGTGTCATAAGTTTTTTTTGGATCACTTCAGTGCTAAAATTTTTGAAAAACAATCACTTAAGTGATAAAAATTTTTAAAAAACAATCATTTAAGTGCTAAAATTTTTGAAAAACGATCACTTAAGTGCCAACCTCCGGCGAGCCACGTCAGCTTCAGAAATTAATAAAAAAAAATGCCACGTCGGATTTCCGATGAAAAATTGTGTACGGCACCGGAGTTGGCACTTAAGTGATCGTTTTTCAAAAATTTTAGCACTAAAGTGATCCAAAAAAAAACTTATGGTACCAAAGTGAGCGCCGTACACAAGTTATGGCACTTGTAGTGTTCTTTTGCCAAAAAAAACAGAAAGGAAAACGACACGTATGGTCCCCGAACTTTGACTCAATGTGCAATATGATCCCTGGACTTTCAATTTGTTTAATATGATATCTGAACTTTACTCCAATATTCAACGTGATCCCTGAATTTTTTGTACATATTTAATTTAATCTCTAAACTTTATGAAAATGTTCAATGATTTCCTTCCATTATTTCAAGTTCAAGGACAATATTGAACGTTTTCATATGGGTCCAGAAACTAAATTGAACATGTAACAAAAGTTCATGGACCACAATACACATTGAGGTAAAATTCAGAGATCACATTATACATTGAGTCAAAATTTATGGACTATTTTGAAGTTTTCGTACTTCTCAAAGTTTGAAGAGGTAAGCCACTTGTGCTGTGCATAACGTTAGTCGGTTAAATATGTTTTGTTCTTGAAAAGAAATGAGGTTTGCTAATGAAATGACTATATATTTCAAAAAATCAATCGTTGCATTATTTTTTAAATTGTTTAAATGAGAAAGGATAGAAACTTTTTTTGCTCAGTAAAGAAATATCATGAGTATAGGATAAGTAATACGGATGGTATAGGTAAAGAAGCCAGTTACCCCAACCAATTGCATCTCTCTAGGTGGAGCATCTTGTGTGAGATGCTAGCTGCGCCCGGTCCAACCAGCGTCGAAGGATGCTATGCACAGAGCCGCCGCGAGGACGGCGGTGACTTGAGTGTGTGGTGAACTCAAGCAAATGCAGCACAGAGCTGCTATGCAGAAGGTGAGAGGACCATCGCGGCTGTGCACAAAGAGCCGCGGCACAAAGCCACGGTGGTTTAGTGGCTAAGAGTGGCAGCCCAAAAGCCATGGCGGTGAAGGCAACGTTACCCATGGTGGAGATAGGGGAAGGACAAAGAAGCCGCGGTAGATAGGAGAGGAGAGACGAGTGATACAACATGGCAGCAAGTGCAGTAGGGGCATGAGGACGATGGTGGCGACGAGGGCCACGTCGGAAGTGGCAACAAGAGCCGCCAAGAAAGGCGGCAAAAATAGGGACAGTCTGGCCCAAAACAGACCATGGATGAAAGAATGAGGGTCAGACCTCCCATACATGTGTCTTTCTCTGATTACATAAGAAAAATCGAACCTAAAAACAGTAGAATCAAGCTAAGGAATTTGAACATTACACATAATGCATACTTTCCTTCTGTTTGTGCTCGGTTTTGAACCTAGCATATGACCTTGAATCACTTCAAGCGTTTGTAAACTAGTCCCATACGTTTTTCTTCTTTTGTCAAATACAGATCGATCGCAAAAGCTTCGACCTACCAAGTTAAGCAACAACATGGATCGCCCATTATACAGAACCATTACGCAAATAACCATGTAAATGTTCGTGCTCAGACAACGCCTGAGGTCACAACTATGTAGTCTTGCAGGTAACAAATCTCCAAGTTGCAGCAGCCATGAACAAAATCTGCACTTCATCTTTTGTCAAGCAAACCACATCAATCCCATGCTCCCGACCCAATGCTCTGTTTTTAATATCATTAGCTCCAAGCCTCGAGTTACCACAATATTGCTAATCGTCAAAAAAAGAGCGTGCACACACATACATAGTTCCGAAGGATAGTAAGTGATGGCCACCTTAAACCTGATCCCAGTTTCAATGTAGTGACACTAGCACTGAAGTATCAGATCCATACAAACCAAAGAAGGCCGAACAATATGCATGACATCCCAGATACACTGCCCCAACTTGTGTTTGAATAGGTGCGGGCAAATACAAAGATGAGAGCTCCAGTACATGCACCAAACTCACTAAGAAGGAAAGGGATCTCAGAATTCTACTTGATATCATATTTAACTAAAAAAGTGTCTTTTTGAAGAGTCAAAAATACATCAAACACGGAGGTCATGATGCATATCCTTCTGCCTTTAATTCGACTCACCTTACCCTTACACACGCCCTTAGATTGTCCTTGAGTGAATTGGACAAAATCGGAGTTGATATGTCTGCTTGGTATCTGACGAATCGGATCTTTTGCAAAGACTTAGGAAAGTCGCTATTTGGGAAAAACAAAGGAGCGGGCATTTAAATTACAAGGACACATAACGGACATTCATGTGATGCAAGCAACTTCTGTAGCTACCTAGTGACGGTAGGAATGGAAGAGGAACCGATGATCAACATAATTCCCATAAGCATAGCAGCAAGACTAGTGACCATTGAAAATGGAGATTTTGAGTAGGAAAACCGGTCTATTTCATGGTGAAGAGTTGAGTCTGTTACTACCTAATCACTGTTCTTCTATATTCCACCAATTAAACAATTTGATAGGGAAACTGTCTGTAAGCGCTAAAATAGAGAACTACAACAAGAAAAACAAATTACTGGTGCAGAAAAACAAATCTACAGAAAAAAGCCACTTAACATTCTGAATTGAGAAATACGAACACTTCTACGATAATGTCTAAACAAATAGTTAGCCACATAAGTGATCAAGTAGTGTTCTTAAGCCAACAATGAAGCCATCTCAATAGATGAGCATCAAAACATGACCTATAAAAAGATCCATATAATAGACAAAACATAATCAAAACGGCTAATTTCCACAAAAAAACCAAGCAAAAGTTTCATCCAGACTGCATAATGGAAGAAAGGACAAAATGATACTCCATATCTCTCTCTTTGTTGAATTTTTGGAAAGAAGGTACTATTCTTATTCTCTCAATAATAATGCTAACTAGTGGCAAGCGCTCATCAAGTTGTAATATCGGAAAGACCATAGCATCGGTACACATGTTCATCTCCACCGCAATGAATCAGTGAAATCACCAAAGAAAACAGAATATAAATAGCACCACAATAGACCATAGCATCGGTACACATGTTCATCTCTACCGCAATGAATCAGTGAAATCACCCAAGAAAACAGAATATAAATAGCACCACAATAGACATCTCCAGTGAAGCACTTGCATCATTGCTTCACGTTCTCCAAGTACCATTTATAGGTATCGCAAAGACCCTCTTTCAGCGAAATCTTTGGCGTCCAACCTAAACTTGCCAGTTTTGAACTATCCATGAGCTTCCTAGGAGTCCCATCTGGCTTTGAAGAATCCCAAACAAGCTGACCCTCGAACCCCACGACCTCCTTCACCAACTCAGCCAATTCCTTGATAGTCACCTCCTTCCCGCTCCCGACATTTACATGCCCCAACCCACTATACTTCTCCATCAGAAAAACAACCGCATCTGCTAAATCATCCACATGCAAAAACTCCCTCAATGGACTCCCCGTACCCCACACCACCACCTCCTTTGCTCCCCTCACCTTCGCCTCGTGAAACCGTCTCATTAATGCTGGCAAGACATGAGAATTCTCAGGATGAAAATTGTCATTCGGTCCATACAAATTTGTGGGCATTCCTGATATCGCATCCCAACCGTACTGAATCCGATAAGCCTGACACATTTTAATCCCAGCAATTTTCGCAACCGCATACCTAACCATAAACAGACAGTTCCAAATCAAAGACCAGAGCACCGTTGACAAAACCAGCAGATCATGACAGATCCCAAGTCTTTAATGAAAAACAAGATAATGGCAAATAAGGGTAGACGTCACGGCTAAAATTAAGGTAGACTTACGAGATAGCACTTGACTAAAAGACACGAATTTGGTTAGGAGAGGACTAGTGGCATTACCATTCATTAGTGGGCTCGAGAGGGGCAGTTAGCAAAGCATCTTCCAGAATCGGCTGAGGTGCAAATTTCGGGTAAATGCAAGAAGATCCCAAAAACAGGAGCTTCTTGACACCATGGCGATGGGCAGAGTCGATGACATTGGTCTGTATCTGAAGATTGATGGCGATGAAATCCGCCGGGTACGTGTTGTTGGCATGGATGCCGCCGACCTTAGCAGCAGCAAGGATCACGAACCGCGGCTTCTCGGCAGCGAAGAACTCCTCGACATCCGACTGGCGCGTGAGGTCGAGCTCGGCGTGGGTGCGGAGGACCAGATTGGCGAACCCCAGGTCCCGGAGCTTCCGCACGATGGCGGAGCCCACAAGGCCGCGGTGGCCCGCGACAAAGACCTTGGCCGATCTTTCGGAGAGGAAGGAGTCTCCTGCTGCATCTGCCACGACAAGAAAGACAATGACAGCAAATCAGGGTTCAAAGATTGGAGATCTGGTAGAATCAGGCTCTGTTTTGGTTGTAAGAGGGAGACCCAAATCCCAAAACAGACCAATTCATCCTTTCCTCTCTTCATCCGGTCAAATGAACAAGATACACATGAAAGACAGCATCGATATAACATCCGCATCATACAAGAACTGAACAAAACAAGCAAATCGCATCATGGGTATGATTCATCATCAGCCTTCCTTTCACGGGCATTTCTTCAGCAAATTGAAGTGCACATTCAAACACCCACCAGAGGGAGAGAAAGAGAGAGAGAGAGAGAGAGAGAGAGAGAGAGAGACATACCGTTGGGTCCTCCCATCGCGCAGAACGGGGGATGCAGGTGACGGAGCTGAGCAACAACACGAAGCGAGAAGGTTCGTATGGATTGGGGAAGTTTCGTTTCGGTTCCTTCGGGTGCTCCGTGGGGGAGATTCGGACAGTCACATGTGGTGGGGGACAGCCTAAGCTCCACGATCCAAGCGGGTCGTGTTACCGTTTGTCGGAGGAAAGAGGGTTGAAGGGGAATTCACGGTTTCCTGCAGATCTGGATCGGGCTTTAGCATCCATGGCGGATCGAGAAGACGAACAGAGCGGGGGCTATAAGGACTAACAGCCTTGGATCTCGGCCTAATTCTCTTTCTTACAGAGAGAGGCGATTCCATGGGCTTTTTAAAGCCCATTTGTACCTACCTTGGGTTTTGGGCCCCATCGATGAGCGGGTTCCGGGGCGACCCGGGCTCGATGCCGGGACCGAAAAACCCTCGCCCCGACCTATACTTCGCGCGCGAAACCGATCGGAGCTGGGCGGACCAAACCGGATCGGGTTTAGTTGCCGAGAACTGAACAGCCTGTCCGAGGCCCGCCGGTTCATTTATGCCTCGGGTCTAGTAGACCCGGGTGGGCCCTTCGCAGGCTATCGAGCCGTCGAATCCATGATCACCTCTCTTACGGGGTTACAGCGACGCTACTCCTGTGGGCGAGGGGAGAATACAAACATCGTTCAGAATTATATGCTCGGTTATCTTGTTTGTCGCACATTTTCAAAAGCTATAATTATTCTACTCCTCTAGTTTAGGGCCTTACGATTTGCACGTGTATTTTACCTAGATACTTGCTTGCATGGATAGACTTTCATTTTTTTTTTTCGCTTTTTTACTTAATCTAAATTCAGCGGTTCACACGCTTTGACTTTTCTTAAATCGAAACTCCCGAAACTTTCACCGCATTCGAGTTTTGATTCAGAGATTACCATTATAATTTTTTCACGCTTTCTCCGAAGTTTGAAAGGATACTTTAAACTTTAGCGGGAAAACAAAAAGGCATTCTTTGGTCTGGTTTTGAATGCCGAAAAACGCACGCCCATGGAGGTGTAAAAGTGTAGAAATGGGGTGATACGAATGGTAGAAATTCGAAGTCAATTTCACCATATGTGCTGTCAATTTGTTGCAATTTCGACATGGTACGAGATTCAGGCTATTCAAAACTTTTCTCCTGTTGGAAAACGGAGGTGTCAATGTCGACGACGACGACGACGACGAAGACCGGGTCAATGAAGTGGTCGTTTTTTTTTCCCGCTTTGGCTGTCGTTTTCATGCTATTTTCTTGAATACGATACTTCAGTGCGGATTATGAGGAACCTTATCTATAAAGAGCGTGGGAGTTGGTCCCAAGCTCTAAAAGTGGCAAGCAGCAAAGAGGGAAACGCGAGAATCGGCTTTTGAAAATGTTGAAGAAATTACGTAATAAATAAAGAAGTCTAACTAATAGAAAAAACAAGGAAAACGACACAAATGGTCCCTCGGGACTTTAATCAAATGTGCAATATGCCGTAACTGAACTGTTAATTTGTTCGACGTGGTCCGTAAAATTTGGTCATATGTGCGATGTCGTCTCTGAATTTTTAATTTAATTGTTGTAGCCCATGAACTTTGATCTAATATTTAATGTGGTCCCCGAAATTTTAAGCATTTCCATGTAGTTTATGGACTACATTGAACATTTACTAATAATCTAGGAACCCGCATCGAATAAATTAAAAGTCTAGGGACGACATTGCGCATCGGTCCAAGATTCATGGATCACATTGCACAAATTTAAAGTTTAAGGATAACATTGCACATGTGGCCCAAGTTTAGGGACCATTTGTGCTATTGCCCTTAAAAAATACAAGCTCCGATGCTAGAAAGTAGGGACTATGGCACATGGAGAAATCATTTTTGGAGATCTGACAAATTGAGAAAATGATAATAGAATTACGTCCAAGATATTTAGTCGATTTTGGAACCGTATAAAATGTCTCGACATAATTATGTGACTCTCTATCCATCAAAAGCTCAAATTAGGGATGGAGAGAAATGTTCAAAGTTTAAACCACCGAGCAGAGGTTTTTTGTAATCGCCGGTTCAAAAGATGCTTAATTATAGTAGCTCTCGATAATCAGATGTTGCTTGAGAGGGTCTTACACTAGAAGGACTCTGCGAAGGAGCTCGGTAGGCATGATTTAAATCGGTAATTCCAAACGCTGAGAAGAGGTCGCTAATGCCGATTGTCCTTTCCACCTCCTTTCGTATATCAAACCAAAAGAAGAAAAGCGGGATAATGACACAAACAGTCCCTGAACTTTGGCTCAATGTGCAATTTGATCCCTGAACTTTTAATTTGTTCAAGTAGTCCCTGAACTTTAACCTAATGTTCAATGTGGTCCCTGAACTTTCAATTTGTTCAACTTGGTCCCTGAACTTTTAGTAAATGTTCAATTTAATCCCTGAACTATATGAAAATATACAATATAGTTCTTGAACTTGAATTAATGTAAGGACTACATTGAACATTTTTATAAAATTCAGGGACTATATTGAACATGTACCAAAAGTTCAGGGACCACATTGAACCAATTGAAAGTTCAGGGACCATATTGAACATTGGGTAAAAGTTCAGGGACTACATTGAACAAATTAAAAGTTTAGGGATCAAATTGCATATTGAGTCAAAGTTCAAGGACTGTTTGTGTCATTTTCCCAAGAAAAGCATCATGCTATGGGGATTGGAGCTTTTTGACCCAAGAATATTGGATTGTCAAATTGCCCCAAAGGATACTCTCTTAGGACTAGTTCTTCTGCCCTCGATTCCGAAAGTATAGAAATCGTGATCCATCGAGATTAATCGGGTATTCGTACAGCGAGACAATTTAACATTTTCTACATATTAAGTCAAAATTCTTTCTATCATCTGGACACCCAGTTCACACCACTCATCAGACAACTACCTTCACTCAAAAGATAACTTTTTTTGGACAACTCTCAATCCAGTATTTTCCTTTTATATGTGTGATATGTTTGCTAAAAGTCCTACAACTTATCACGATAGTATATTTGAGTCATGAAACTTGCAAAAAATACAATCAAGTCTTAAAACTTGACAAATTAGTTCGATCGAATCCTAAAGTTAACTCCGTCCAATTTGGTTAACGGAAAATGCTGACGTGGTTTTTTTTCATTATTATTTTAATGCAACTTTTATTTAAATTAAATTTTAAAATAAGCTAAATAATTTTTTTAAAAAAAAGGCAGAGGATGAGAAGTCAGGCGGAGAGGGCTACAAGCTCTCGCTGCCGCTCCACCATAGTAATAAAATTAGCATTAAAAATCAAAATATGGGCTAAAACGACGTCGTTTTAGTCTTATGTTTCATAATTTTGCCACATCATCGATCCGTAGGAGAGAGAAAATATCCAAAACAAGTCACGTCGGCGTGTTCCGTTAGTTAGTCAGACGGTGTTTACTTTAGGACTCGATTGAACCAATTCGACGAGTTTCAAGACTCGATTGCACTTTTTTTGCAAATCTTAGGACTCGATTATACTTTCGCGACAAGTTTCATGATTTCCAGTGAACACATCCCTTTACATATCTATCGATTTTGCATGTACACGTGGCGCGCATCCATTGCTCAACCCTAACGATAATCTAGGGAAATTTTTTTTAAAAAAAAAAAAAAACAAACAACACCAAGCAACAAAGATGTGATAAACCGTGGGCCCAAAAAAGCCGAGGAGCGGGTGGGATTAGGAGGCACGAGCGCATCACCTTTTGCTTTTCCAAGGGGAAGGAAGGTGGCTTTCTTTTTTTTCGCTTTTTCCATCTCTCGCCCCCCTCTTTTCTAAAATGGTCTTCAAAAAGACTTTTGAGACCAACGAAACAAGTGGGGGAGTCATTCCCAATGGCAAAAAGAAGATGGAAACGCACCCCAAAAAAGATTTTTTTCTTTTTTTTTGTGGCTCTTTGGGGGGGGGGAGTGCTCCAATTATAAAGTTCGTCTAGTGATTAAATTTATATATATATGCAATTGCAATAAGATAGTGTTGCTGGCGGATTTAAATAGAGACACATTTTGATTGGAGCAAAAGCACCATATAGTTAAATACATTTATCAAAGATTCCGTGCAGTCGATTGCAATCATGCGCGTGGTTTGGTAGATTCATGGACCCAATTCAATTTGGTGAGATCTTCCGTTCACATTTTCTTTTCCGTCGAGAACGTTTTGTAAAACTCTCTCGGCCCCCCCCCCCCCTCGAATTTGGAGGGCCCTACTTTCGCTCGATCCACTGGTTTTTTATTTTCTTTTTTTCTTTTGGTTTCGGTTGTGGGTTGGGGACTTGGGTATGTAATTCTAAGTCTCCTGACGTTTTACCTGGTCAAAGATCGAGTTGGAGAGGAAAGTGAGTCCCGCGCTGAAGAGAGGCGAGGTGATCGAGTGATTTATAACCCGATGCCGCAGTCTTTGGATCTCTTTTTACTCGGTGGGCCTGTATTGACTTTCATCGTTTGGATTTCTTTCTCCTGTAAGCTCCACGGATATAAAGAAAGGAAAATAAAATTTCTAAAAAAAAATAGGGGTGACTCTATAGGTTTTAATTGAAATTTTAAGCCGGTTCCAACCATGTTTGTGTATGTTCATCCTATGTGGCATTTTTGGTATCCTCTTGAGATTGGGATTCGTCGAGATACACAGACTAGTTACAAATGGCATAAAGGATATCACTCTCTTTCCAAAAAAAGAAAAGAGAAAAGAGGCGATCAAAAATCAGATCAGATGCTTGCCTAAACATGTGGTGAGGCCCGCAGGTTTAACTAGGTAAAGGTTGGGCAATGCCTTGGGCGAGCATTGCAAAAAAAAAAATTTATAGTGTCGGCGCCTCGGGTAATAAGTTAAGTTCGTCTATCGCCTCGGCCAGGCCTGAGCCATCCGATGGTCATGTGGTCTCTTAAGTGACCATCATAGTATGGGATATCCAGAATAACTTGCAAATTCTGTAGGCTACGTCGAACCCGTATAGTTGGGTAAGTTTCAAGTTCCAAAATTCGGAAACCAATAAATGCACGATAGATTCCACACCATGTTGTATCCAATACTTTGTACCATGTGGATGATACCCTATAGAAAGGTACAATATCGATCGTATAATATTTTTTTTAATCAAATACGAGTATATTTAATTATATATGACTACCTTTTTTTCTTTATCAAAATTTTAAATGTGTGAAAGTCCTAATTAATCAACAATATCTAACCCTGTTAGGAAAAAAAAACAACAAATCTTCAATCCCTTTTGGCGTCTCTCTCCAACAAGCTTGGTTATATCTAACATGATACATTTTGATTTATGCTCTCAGCAGGGTAAGATAGGTTTTCATATGAGCTCATAAATTTAAATGATAGGTGGAAACTTCTTCATTTCTTTATTGTTTTTTTAAAGACTATGATACATGTATGTATGTGTGTCTTTTTACCTCAATTACATAAAGCTTGACACCAGAATTATAGTGATTGGTTCCCACCTCTGAACCAGACCAAATTATAGGGTTGGTCCTAGAATCAGTGATTTTTTTTTTTGGTTTCTTCAATTCCCTACAAGCGGTAGTGTTCAAACATTAAAAAAATAATTTACTAATTAAGATTTGCTTCTACATAAAAAAAAAAATTAAGAAATCTTGACCGGTCCATCGGTTCAATCCAAACAGTCCGATTCTTTATGTGGAACAAGGTACCGAACCGATTATTCTCGATTCCAAAAATTTGGAACTGGACCGGTCTGTGGGAACCACCTAGAATTGGCCGGTTCAATTTGATTCTCGGATTGGACCGGGACCGATGCACACCCCTAACCCGAACCTTGCCCCTCTAGACCCTTTAGAGAGTATCCGGTACAATTTCTCCACAAGGATTACCCAAAAAAGAAATTGAGCTGGAAGCCCCCTTTTTAATAGAAAATATAAGTTTGAAACGCTGATCACGTGAGTGAAGTAATTATCTCAAGACAACCGTGTAGACATTATGACTTATGAGGCTGTTAGTCTATGATTAGCGATTGATCAACTAGGATTAACTAATATCAAAAGGAAAAGCCTTATCTGAACCAAACTTTTCTTTTAGCACGTGCGACCCCAACGCCCTATTATTTTGTTTTAATTTTTTTTTTCACACTTTGATTGCCTTACACAACTCAATTAATATATTGTTAGATTGTAGGCAAACTTTTTTTCCTTTTTTCTTCTTTTTTCCCCCCTTTAATTCAAGCAAATCAAAGCGTTTTTTTTTTTGTTTTTACGCCTTTTTAAACTAGTAAGAACTTCCATAGTTATTTTCATTAAAATGTGGCATACTTTCGCATTTTAAGAAAAACTAACGATGGCCCATATCCACAATTTCGTATTTAAACGTACCTCTACTTATTTAATTTTACCAAAATCACACTTGAATCAACTTAGAGTCTTGATTAATTAAAGAAGCATATATATATATATATATATATTAAAGATCTATGAAACATTTTTTTCTAAAAGGAAAAAAAGTTGGAAAAGAAATATAAAAAAAAACCACTATCACACTCTCCTTGCCAAGTGTCAAAAGAGTTCATTCCTTTAAATAAAGAAAGATTTTGTCTATGTAGCAAGAAGATGATACTTTTCAAAATATCAGAAGAAGAAAACTTGTCTCTCTCTTGCTATTCGTAACATAAAAATGAAATATTTCACTTATATTATATCTAAGTTAAGTGAATAATCATTCATCAAAGCATTTTGAATAACAAAAAAATTAAATAAACCATACTATGAGAATGATGATGAACCCATTAGCACGTTCTATTTCAACCTCAAACTTTCATAACAATTTTTCTATGAGAAGTCCATGCTTGGTGTCAATATATTTTACAATAACATGTTTATAAAAAAATTATGTTAAAACCCGAATATAGTTAATTAATTACCAACTCATCCGATAAATATTCTACTTCCCAAATTGGAATTCAAATCTCCCTCATCTCACAATCATTTAAAGTTCTTTCATCAATTAATTCACATCTTTACATTTTTTTTCTCTCTCAATGCATTGATTTAAATCTATTTTTATATATACACGTTTGTCTTTTTTTTTAGAGAGATTATCTTAAGAGATCTCAATAATTATAACTTTGTAAAGCCATACCCATTTAATATATGTACAAAATAAATTGGCTTCATTGGAATGATGGCAAAAACTTTCCTATTTATTATCTCTCTTATATCTCTGTTTATTCACAGTGCAGGCTATTCTCGAAGCCTGTCACCAAAACCAAAACCAAAACCAAAATAAATAAATAAATAAATAAATCATTATAATTATAATTTATAGGAATGTCCTGTATGATACATTGGTCGCCAGACAACATGAGCCCTAGCTCTGAAAATCAGCACACTCCCTGCCAAAACATCCCTTGATGTATCACCTTTCTTGTTCCGTTTGCAGGAAGGGAGTAGGTATTTACCTCCTGAAGAAAGTCAGGGTCTTATCAGTCGTATTTTCTTGTCAGAATATTTCTCCAGCAAAAAATACAAAAAATACAAAATAAAAATAAAAGAAAACCTAGCTTTCGAATGGGAAATTACAAAATCGACTGAGGCCGACAAGGCTCCCAATGATAACGATGAACAGTTTCAACTGTAGCAGAGCTTTGGACTGTCAAAAAGAACAAACTAGGTCACTTTTATATATACACACACTGATAACAATCTAAAAAAAGGGCTTATACCCAAAAAAAATTTAATTAAACTATGTCTAGTGCGACACCAAAATTCCTAAATCACGTTCATTGAGACACCTATGTCCTAAAATTTTTTCGAATCATCAAAATCCATAAATTATGCCAATTGTAACATTAATATCCCAAAATTTTGTCACCGGTACAAGTGTGGCTACAAGTTTGAAATATTGATGACATGCAAAAAAACGTTTGAGGTATTGTATCACAGTGAACAAAGTTTACGATTTTCTTTTATAGTAAATGTAAAGTATTTTTGTTGAAAAAATTTGATATTGTGATAGGCATAGTTTAAGATTTTATGTTGTATTTTTCCAAAAAAACAAAAATAGAAACCCTATTTTTCCCATTTCTCTCTTTCCCTCTCTGATTCGGTTGATGTGATATGCCAGCACACAATGCCATATAGCTGGAACAAGCAAGACCAGAAGAAAAATTGCCAAAATTGCAAACTTAATTTTTTTCCCAATAATATTTTTCTAGGTTCTTTTCTGGCCAACAATAATTTTTCTAGGATCATCAGCCTAGCTTTTTCTTCTCCTCCGCTATGCCAGTAGGTTCAAGCTCTGCCTAGCCAAGTGAAGAAGGCTAATCATAGCAAGTGGTGTGATGAATCATCCAACATACAATAAAGTCTAATCATTTCACTAATTACAATAATAAATCACATGATTTTTACATTTCCTAAGTCAACTTTCAGCTGAGATTAGTGTTGTTGTTCTTCTTCTTGCAGCAGTGCGCCCACTCATCCTGTCCTTCTCAAATTCTGCGCACCACCCTCCCCTGACAGGCCGTATCATCTCACCCCCCCTCACACACACACACACACACGCAGATGGAGGAGGAGCTTCGGCTTTGGCTTTGGCTTTGGCTTTTCTTTTTCTCGCTTTCCTCTTTTCCTTTTCTTTTCCTCTTTTATGTGTTCCCATCTTTTCCGATTTCCTCCTGATTATTTTATGGGAACAAATCATGCTGTCACGTATGCAAATGCACTGCAACGAGTCTTTTGTGAAGCCAAAGTGGGAGGGGATGGCCTGAAAAGGACTGGTAAAGCAAAAGAGAGCCGAGTGAGAGAGAGAGAGAGAGAGAGGGGATACAAAGGGAAAGTGTGATTTCGGGCACACCATTTGTGTTTTTCTGTCGAACTATGTTCATGACTTTCGTTCTGGGACTAGACCATGGCTCCCAGCAAGCTCTTTCCTGGTGTTGTCTTCTCCGTTGTCTTCATGGTCCTCTCTTCTTCGCTCCCTCCTCTCTGTCTCTGCTACGAGCCTCGCAACCATGAAGGTGAACCCATCAGCTTTTCTCGTTCCCAGACCGTTGTATGTGTCGTGGTGGTAAATACTGAATACCCTTTTCTGGTGTTCTTTCAGTGGAGGCTTTGATCGGTGTAAGGAGAGAGTTGGATGATCCGCATGGAGTTTTGAACAACTGGGATGAAGATTCTGTCGACCCCTGCAGTTGGGCTATGATCACTTGCTCGAGTGACAATCTAGTCATCGGCTTGTGAGTTTTCTTTGACATTTTATCATGGCGAATTTAGTTTTTCCTTTTTCCTTTGGTTGTACTTCGAGAGTTCTTCTCCTGGATTTTCATTTTTTCTCGAACCTTGTTTTGCAGAGGAGCTCCTAGCCAGTCTTTATCGGGAACTCTGTCTGGGACTGTAAGAAATCTCACTAATCTCCGACAAGTGTAAGAAAACAGGACATGTCTCTTCAAGTTTATTCTTTGTGTTTGCAAATTTTGAATTTCTCGTTCAACCTCTGTTTGTTTGCTCTAGGAAAAAAACAGGGGAAGGGAAAACGAACGAACATGTTGGGTTCGGAAGTTTTTCGTTGTCTTGTGTTGTGTCCGTCATCAGTTTGTTGATTTTGAAAGAGCATATGTTTGACCAGCTTCGGCTTTTTCCTTCTTTTGTTGAATAATTTTACTTAACATGCGTGTCGTGTGGTTCTTTGGAGTCTTTTAGGTTACTGCAAAACAACAATATCTCAGGCAACATCCCACCAGAGTTGGGTACTCTTCCAAGACTCGAGACTTTGGATCTCTCCAACAATCACTTATCTGGTCCAATTCCTGAGTCTCTAGGGCAATTGCATAGCCTACAATATCTGTGAGTACTAAATTTTGCGTTATAATTTCTTCAGTTTTCTTTTGTTTTGCTTCCAGAATATTGTTAATCTAAACCACTTGTGCCCTTTTTATATTGTCTGGGGTATGAGCAAATTGTGATTTCCATTTCATGTTCGTTCCTTCTTCTTGCCTTATGTGTGTGTGTGTGTGTTTTTTTTTTCCTTTTCCGAGGTTCTTGATGTTGTCTAACACTGTTTGTTTTGTCCTGTGGCGAGGTTAGGAGGCTAAACAATAATAGCTTGTCTGGTGCTTTCCCTGTGTCTTTGGCCAAAATCCCACAGCTTGCTTTCTTGTGAGTATGGTTCTCTCTCTCTCTCTCTCTCTCTCTCTCTCTCTCTCTCTCTCTCTCTCTCTTGTTTTCTCTGTTTTAAACGATTCAATGTCTTGAGAATCGTAATCATGCAGCTGCAAAACCTCAAAAGAACGCTTAAAAAAACGAAAAGAAAATCAAAGCTGAATGTTTTGGGTGCTGGGTTTCATTTATTTTCCCCTGAAGGACTTTTGGTGATGCTCTCTGGGTTTTTTCAGGGACTTTTCTTACAATAATCTCAGTGGACCTGTGCCCAAATTCCCGGCTAGAACATTCAAGTATCAACTCTCTCTCTCTCTCTCTCTCTCTCTCTCGCTTCAAAATTGTTCCTTATTTGGTTTTATATTTGTAATTTATTTTTGTATGGTTGAAATATGCAGTGTTGTAGGAAACCCATTGATATGCGGAAGAAACCCTACTGAAGGGTGCTCTGGATCAACCATTCCTATCCCTCTTTCCTTCTTGCATACTTCTGCTGGTAACTTCTTCTGAACCTTCACTTTTATTTTACTTATTCTTCTCTAGACAATCCTCTGTTCTCTTTAACCCAATCAAACTGTCTTCTTCTTTATCTTTTTTGTTATTCTTATTCCTTTTGGTTTGATACAGATGAACCTAAGTCCAAGAAATTGGCAATTGCACTTGGGGTCAGTCTCTGCTTTGCCACACTTGTTCTGTTGGCTATCGGGTTCCTTTTACATTCAAGGAGAAAGAAATCTCATACCATCCTCAACATCAATGGTTCGTGTCATAATTCTCATTAGAGAACGAACTCTGTCATGATACGTCATTGACTGATGCCATTTTCTGATTGGGGCATGTTGACTGTTTCTGCAGAGAAGCAAGAAGAGGGGCTAATGAGCCTGGGAAACCTCAAGAGCTTCACTTTCAAAGAGCTGCAATTGGCGACAGACAATTTCAGCTCCAAGAACATACTTGGGACCGGAGGTTTTGGCAATGTGTACAAGGGTAAGCTCGGGGACGGGACTATGGTCGCGGTGAAACGTCTGAAAGACGTAGTTGGGACAACCGGAGAATTGCAGTTCCGGACTGAACTGGAGATGATCAGTTTGGCAGTCCATCGCAACTTGCTGCGATTGATTGGATACTGTGCCACTTCGAACGAACGGCTTCTGATCTACCCTCACATGTCCAATGGTAGTGTTGCTTCAAGGCTCAAAGGTTTGTTCATAGTCCCTTTTGTCAAATTGACGCTCTTGACTGGTCAAACTACATTTCGATTTTTGTTGTTGAAATGCATATGGTCGTACACTGTCATGATGACTCTCTTGTACTAATAGTATTGCTTTATGTATGATTATGGTTCCTGCTCTGATAAACTGGTTTCTGATACATTTATGACCTTTGGTTGTACAGCAAAACCAGCGCTAGATTGGAACATGAGAAAGAAGATAGCCATTGGAGCTGCCCGGGGTCTCCTATACCTGCACGAGCAATGCGATCCCAAAATAATCCACAGAGACGTGAAGGCAGCTAACGTGCTCCTTGATGACTATTGTGAGGCCGTTGTCGGCGATTTTGGCCTCGCGAAGCTCCTGGACCATGCTGACTCCCATGTCACGACTGCGGTTCGTGGTACAGTTGGACATATTGCTCCGGAATATCTCTCGACGGGCCAATCATCTGAGAAAACTGATGTGTTTGGCTTCGGGATTCTCCTGTTAGAGCTTATAACAGGAATGAGAGCTCTCGAGTTTGGCAAAACAGTAAATCAGAAAGGAGCAATGCTCGAATGGGTAAGTCACCTGTGCAGTTCTTTTTATGTATGAGCTACAACTAGGCGTATAAGTACAAACTAGAATGCGCGAACATATGAGCAGCTTGAGTTAGCACTCAGGCATTTGGCTACATGTTTTCACTTACTGTGTAATGTTCAAAAAGTCCAATGCATCTTTTAGTTCTTATAATTCTGGTATCAGACTATTAACCTTCACATATTGCTCATTGCGCATCAACACCTGTTTCAAACACTGTACACTTGAGGCATGTCATTTAGACAGCACCATTTCAATCTCCATACACGGGTTTTGTTTGAACTTAAGTCTTGGAAGTTCTGCGCATTCCCTTGCAAAATTTTGTGCATTTCGACAAGTCTTTAGAACATTTCTGAATTCAGTATCGATCCTCGAATGCACCAAAGTTCAGACATTGCTCCCTGTAAATTCCCGGACCTCCAAGCAAATTAGATATGTTTTCTCTTACAGCATTTCTTTTTTTTGTGTTCAATTTCATATTTTCGGCAAGATACCTAACAGTTCAGTTTTTCTTGACAGGTGAAGCAAATACATCAAGAGAAGAAAGTGGAACTTCTGGTGGATAAAGAGCTGGGGAGCAGCTACGACCGGATCGACGTGGGAGAGATGCTCCAGGTGGCGCTCCTGTGCACCCAGTACTTGCCGGCCCACCGGCCCAAGATGTCCGAAGTCGTCCGGATGCTGGAAGGCGACGGGCTCGCTGAGAAATGGGCTGCGACTCACAACCACTTGAACCCTGCCACGAACTTCTCCCTCATCACCAGCGCCGCCAAAGCCAACGGTCACGGTCCCGACCGGTCGAGCGTGTTCGGGATGTCGGTCGACGACGACGACGACGACCATTCCTTGGATACCTACGCCATGGAGCTCTCCGGCCCGAGATAGCGCGCCAAACTAGGAAGGAAAGCAAAAGAAGCAAAAAGATAGCAATGTGTGAGCATGATTCTTTAGAGCAACTTTTAAACCGTTATGCCTCTTCTTTCAATCTTTTTTTCCCAATGGTGGTGTACATACACATCTCTTTCCTCTCTTTTCTTCCAAATCTCAGTTACTCTTTAGGGGTTGTTCTTCACCGTGCAAAAATGTAGATGGGAACTGTGGAAGACCATATAGAGTGCAGCCTTTGTTGGGCCTGTTTTTTGTGTGGCAGATGGGAGGACAGCAGCATCAGATGCTGTGCTCCCGGGTGTGGGACAGAGATTGAGAAATTGAAACTTTTTGTGGTATTTGACTAGGAGTTGGTGATGAGAGTGACATGAACATGACAATGCTGGAGCTGCTTTGTTTGGCTAAGTATCCGAAGGTGTGGTACAGTAGTGTCGAGCGTGAGTTGTTACGGGTCGTTTTCTTTTGATGCTCTTTCCTTTTCTGTCTCTGCCTTAGTGTCACGCGCCACTTTGTCCATCTTTGTATTTTCCATGTTCCTGGAATTTGAAGGATTTTAAGGATGTCGATGTCCTCTTCCCTCTGCTCTTTTTTTGAAATTTTTCATGGGCTATGAGCCTTGTTGATGTATTGTATTTTTAAGATACTCTTTACGTTTAAAAAGATACTAAACAAAGGAACGGCTTCGTGACGGTGATTTTGGCATGCGATTTCGAAGTTAATCAGTGGTCTTGTACTAAAAGAATACGGCTTTCATAGCACCTGTGACGGACTATTCGCGGTCGTGGGTGTACTGTATACTTATGTGAGGAGTCGGGTTTAGGACTTCCCTTCGAGAACCCGACCTGGGTTCGAGTCGGGCTTCATGCATGATCGGGGTTTGTGGAGTTCTAATGTTTTTGGGATAGTTGGGGTACCGCGGGCTCTTCTAGACCCGCTTCATTGTCATTCCCTAGTATTATCTTGCTCTGTTGAAAGTTTTGCTTTCACCGCAAGTAGTGGATTAGCACAAATTAGGCGTCGACAGTCGCTATCTCCATTATAACCTTTCTTACTCCGCCCGCGGAGCCGGCAACGTTAATCCGAATTTTCAGCTTCTCTCTCTACTCTTCTTTAGCTCGCGTTCGAGACAGTGTTCGTGCTCTCAAACCAGTCCCGTTGTCCTTCACAGTCTTAAGCTTTCAAAGCAAAGGGACTTCAAACGCAGTTCAATCCTATACAAACAGGGAACTGCTCCTCTTGAAAGAATCTTACAAACCCGACCTTCGTTAAAGATGATGAGCTAACAAGGTGCAATGATCCCATGGCCCTATGCATCGTGTGATCCAAGGCCCATCATCTTTCCATGAGATGAATGTGCAGGAAACAATAGTTTCTATGACGTTACGAAACAAATCACAGTATTTCGATACTAAGGGGCTCGTATAATCCTCAAGGATCGGTTCGTCGGGGATTATTATACATGTGGTTACGAAGAGTTACGGCTATAGAGGATGCATCCCTCGAGAGACTATTGAAGTGCCCTATGATGCTAATCGCACGGTTGAAGACATAAGTTTATAGTTAAGCAACGTGTGGTCGATTTCAGCCAACACGCGAAAGAGGATTTCTCCGAATCCTCATTACCCTATATTATAGAAATTGGGATATTAGGAGTCTTGACATCAATCACCGCTGCGGCTCGAACCCCGCCGTTGCCAATTTCTTAGGCCACCCTCGAGAGCTCTGAACCCGCACGACTCTGTACTTACCCGACACGGTTAGGAAGAGAGGATTGCGATACCCACTCGAGATTAAATCGATTGTCGACGTCAGCTGGGTATCCCGGATAATCATCCCAGACAAAATGACCCTTGAACTCGCGCTCAACTTTCATAGATTTTACCGGGTTATCTGCATATGAGAGAGCAATAGTTTCTTTTGTAAGTATAATTGTTTATGCTTGGTGACCTATACTGGCGGGAATAAGGTACCGATGCGATGATACGAACAAGAGAAGCTCCGTTATAACCATACATTCAAGGTGCTTTCCGGATAGAGGAATGCATAAGAGTTCGAACACCAAGTGGAAAAGAGAACGAATCGAGGGCATATGCAGGACACGAATTTGTTCCCTCTTTCGCTTTATCTGATGAACCAGTTGAGCTAGTGAGGAAAATAGGGAGAGCGCAATGAATAAAGCGATTTTTGTCTTTATGAAAAGAGACGAGTGTGCCTTAAAGCAAATACGTAAATTAGATAATATGCGGGGACAAAAGCCAAACAAGTGACTTCCCCGCTAAATTCGGTCATAAAAAAAGGAAACAAAGTTATGAATTTGAATTCGAAAGAGGTCTCAAATTTGATATGCTTCTTTATGGACACGTGGTACGTAGGGAAATTGTCCAATTAGTTCTAAAGCCTCGTTTGGTTTAGTATTTGAAATGAGATTTGGGACTCTAAAGGGGTTTGGCCAATTTAATTGTAAACCTTCGCGCGATATTCTAATGTAGTAATTCCGATCAATTTTCGTCGAAAATTAAAGACGTTGGGAATGCCACGTAGAGCGGGCTGCGAGGACTGCCACGTCAGCAATTCCGGCGAAAATTGACCATAATGACCATATTGGAATTTCACGAGAAAGTTTAGGACTAAATTAACAAAATTGACAAAATTGAAAAGTTTAAAACTAAATTGACATCCGTACAATAAATTTAAAACTGATTGAGTGATTTTTCCCGTAATTCATTGATAAGATGCAAAAGAGGGTTTCGTAAGAGGTGAATATCCTTGGTAGATTCCTCTTGCTGATGCGCATACGTCGGCTCAAACTCGAAGTCATCGTCTTGGACATGCAGGGAGACCTCGTGGCCCAATCCTTTCACGGTGCAAAGATAAAAACTAAGCTTTTGTTAACTTGTTTTTACAAGTTGGCTTAGCTCGGTTAGGAGGAGGAGGATGATGATGATTAACATGAGGCTTGATGTTGAGATGCGTGTCGGTCACTTGCTATTAAGGAAGGACAAGGTAGATACACCCAAGTGAAAACAGGGCATCAAAATGAATTGTCACGGCAAAATCTTCCTACTTCTTTGAACACCAAAGGTTAAAAGTCGAAAGAGCAGCTCAACTTTGTGAATGGGGTTCACCTCTAATCGGTAGGTTGTTTCAAGAAATTTTACACCTAAGTAACTTAACTCGAAAGAGTCTCTCCCTCTCCCTCTCAACTAACCTCTTCCTCGGCAGTCTCTCCCTTCTCCCTTCTTCGCCGCCATCGCGCCTGAGCCACCGTCGTCGCCGCACCGCTGAACCACGTTGGGGCAGCCCAAAGTTCTCTCTCTCTCTCTCTCTCTCTCTCTTAGTAGAGTTCATCGGTGGTCAATATTATAATTCTGCGTGCGTGGATCAAGCACATGGAACGGGTTCAACTCCCCACGCCACCAAACACAATCTCATGTATTGGATCACTCCTCCGAGTTTCTTAAGTTTAGACTTACCTGTTAACCCGTTCATGAGGTTATTAGTGGGATATTTCATGGGCTCGAGGTTTATCTATCTAAAGGTGGGCTTCCTCGTCATGTAAAGACAAATAAGAAATTAAGCGAAACACGCTCCAAGTCATTACCGATAGCGACCATTTCTCGGCGCGAAGTTTCATAATTAGAGAACTCCTGCAATGGCCATGGCCTGGCCATGCTTTCATTAGTTATAGTAGGCACAGAGAGAAGGACCGCAACAATGAGCAAAAGAAAAAGAAAGGGAGAGAGAGACTACTAGAACGGACAGGGAATGGGCCAAAGTGAAGTCCATGCAGGGCGACAGCAATGGCCGATTCTCTTCGTATTTACAGCGACGGTTTGGGGCTCAACCAACCCCCCTCCTCCGCCACCAATCTCCACCACAAAACGTGGCGGCGGGGCCCCCCCGCCATGCCGATTGCGACCTCCGACGAACAATCTGAGCCGTCTATTCCGTTTGTGGCCTCGGCCAACGGCTGAATCTAGGCCCAGCTCGACATCTTTTTAGATTATATTAAAAAGTGGGGCTGGCTTTGGAAAAGGACCCCACCCGGAAAGGCGAGGCCTTTTTGTGGCGACGGCGACGGACCGGAGGGGATTCCTCTTACGTGGACCGCACCCCCCAGTTATGTCTCGTTTAGTTTAACCAGAACGACACGATAGTGAATACAAGGAATCATAGCATATTCACCCGTTAAGTATCGCTAAACTTCGCTCACGTGTTGTGCGGACTTTGTAAGTCGAACGTAACACAATAAGAAGCATGATCAAATGTTGAAACCCCTTTACGCAATAATTAGTATTATTTACTAATGTGCCCTTTTGATTCTTAAGAAAGCATTAAGTGAGGATCAATTTGGGACCACCCTAAAAGTGAGATCAACCGTTATAATAGTAGAGAGCTAATTTTGAAAAAAGAAAAAAAGGGGAGAAAGACAAATTGATATTTTGACTTAAATATATAAGTGATTATAAATTTCCATGAATTTAAGCAAATTTATAAGATCGTAAAATGCATTTGTCTCGTCGAATTCCCTTCTTAATAAAGTTGATCAAATTCAGGAGATAATTATAATTCCATTTATAAATTTCCATTTAAACCATCCAACTGCTCTCGCTCGAACCTCCTTTTACATTAATCCAAACACAACCATAGAGAATTTTCGTCATCAAGATTTTTTTTATGCCAATTCATCTTCAATCCAAGCAAGATTAGATGCTCTAAAGAGGAAAACGGCATTACGAGAGTCGGGTACGCTCAGGCCAGCTTTAGGTCCGATCAGCCGACCAGACGGGCATTTTTCCTTCTCGAGCTCGACTCGCCCAATCAGGCCCCGACCGGGCCTCACCAAATCCGATCTATTTACATGACGCGGTAAGAGTTTTCTAGACAAGGACTTTTAAACCCGGTCCGACATTTGGCTCGTCCGCTGATTCGGTCTATTCGCAAAATCTGTCGGACAATACTACCATTCTCAACAAATTCTTCCATGGATGACCCAAGAAATCAACTACTAATCCAATCCAAAAGATCATTTGCTAAAAATCTACCACCGGCCTCCGAAGCGCTAAGTTGGGAAGGCTCGGAAACAGAGAGAATGACAGCCATGGAAGGCGTGCTGATGAGCAAACAACATTATATATAACTGCGCGAGCATTACGACTCAAACGCCACTTCGACAAACGTGTAAAAGCCCGAACGAAAAGCTGGGCACACCCTCTCTCTCCTCTCTCTCTCTCTCTCTCATTATTGAAGTTTATCATCGTTCTCGAGGGCGCATCCCCGAGAACATTGGGTGCTGTCTTTGCTTTTTGCCAAGACCCATCTTCTTCTTCGATTTCTTTTCCTTCTGCCCAAAGTCCAAGACCCATCTTCGTTACCCTCCTGCGGACGATCGTATCTTGGCTGCTCGAATTTTCTTCAGCGCGTTTGTCCGTTGGGGGATGAGGGTTGCCTGATCGTTAAAGATCAGTTCTTTTCTCTCATTGGTGACACCCTCCATTGCCGGGCGTTTGAGCTTCCTTTTTCTTGATTCGGGTGAATTCTTGACTCATTCGTTTCTCTGTGTTGATGGGTCGGACGCTGTTTCAATAAATCTTTGGTTTTGGGCTGTTGAAATTCTGGGATGTTTTGGGTTTGATCAGTATTGTAGAAAGGGTGATGTTTTGGGGTCGTCCTTTTTTTTTTTTTCTTTTGATTATATTCAAGATGCGTTTTACTAAACTTCATTTCGATTAGCTGAAAGGAACGGCCTTTTTGTTGTGGGAGACTGTAACTGTGGTTTGTTTGTTCTGGTTTGTCTTAATTGTGTGCTCACGAGTTGTTTCCTTGTGGGTTCAAGAATATGCTCTGCTTTTTTCCTATTTTTTTTAATATTTCCACTGTTTCAGGACCTTGCATCAATTTGAGACATTGAGCCACTCCTAAATCTCATCCACTTGAAGGAAATTCGGGGTGGTGGAACTTAGCATTCCGTCGAATTTCAATTGAAGATGAGAGCAGTAGTTCGGTTAATTCGCCAATCTCAACCTGCTTTCTGGCACCATCATTATTACCACTCCTGTAATCTTGCCAGGAGACACAAACCATTTGTCTGTTCTAATTTAACACGAAGGCTGCCCATGTACTATGACGAATTAGCTGTATTTGGACTACCTAACTTAGAGACCTCAAGAGCTCTTTCTGTCGATGCTGCTAAAGTCAGTACTGGAGGTTTGTGTTTTTTTAGGATGCAAATGATATAATGTTTTTCGATTGTCAATGTAAGCAATGAACCTGTTGTTTTCCTATACTTGTTCATCTGCAGATGCAAGTCGAGCGGGGCCTCTCATTGAGTATGAACGTCGAATTGCTGAGGGTGAACTCATGGATGGTGACATGTGCCAGGTATGATGCGCCAAGCTTCAGTAGAAGAACAAAAAGTCTGCTGCCACCTGATAACTATTTGCAATTTGTTCCGGTGGCGTGCGTTGTTTGGTATTTTCATCAATTAATATGTGAAAGTAGATTTACCAAAAAAGCGGTGAAACAAGCATTCAAGCGGTGCATGTTCAATTGAGTGTCAAATGCCTACTGTTTCTTGTAGCAGATGACCTTACTCTGTGTTTTGTCATCATTTTTTTTACCCCCTCTCTTTCCTATTTAAAGAGAATTTTTACAAGGATGATAGTTGATCTTTAGTTAGTGAATATTGAATAAGTTTTAAATGGCAGAAAGTATGAACTAATATGGACATGCTCATTTAAGTTTGAAAAGGTGCATTTCTTAACCTTAATATTTAGGAGACAGTTACCGAATTCTTAATATGAAGGTGGTATCTGACTCGTAAGATTCAAGTGTTTAATGACAAGAATAAGAAATACAGATTCCTATATGCTCAATCTATTACACTGTTAAGTGACCTTTAATCGAAGTGATATTGAGTGAGATCATCTAAAGAGAAGTTTCTGCGAGTTCAGTAGTTTAAATAATGAAGCTCAAATGATTAGCTTACCAGTTGGATGTGTCGTTCGTGCCTGGATGCACATGAATATGGTTCAGGAAAAATGAGGTAAAGACACGGGCATTTCTTACAATGGTGTGTGACAGTAGCCGCTTGAAGCATCCTGTTTCTCCCATTTCATATTTTAAAGCTAAACTTTGCTCAACTATTTTCTGTTTTCAGCTCTAGTTGTGGTAGAGAAATTGTTATTACTTTTGATGTATAGGAACTGCAACTCCTGAGTGGAGTTTCAAATTGTTGGCAATCGCCAAAACGAAAGTCTATCTATTTCATAGTTTTTAGTGGGATCACTCATTAGATGCCATAAGACAAATTACTTTCCAGATTGGCTTGAGTTTACTGTGTGCGATTGTTTCTAATTAGTTTTTTGTTGAATGACGCACACATTGTCATTATTTTAGGTAGGCACTCTGCAGGAGCTACAGAGACTTTTTGATGAGCTTGTCGCTTCAGCTGATGCCTGTAGATTGGATCGTTATTCTGCTTCAGAGAAATCTGGAAGGTACTGGGTCAACATTCTCAGTACTTAGCCAGTGTAGTTCTTTCTCTAATTCAGTAACTTTTCCCCTTGTCGTTTTTACTGTTAAAAAAGGTGACTCTTTTGCCCATCATTTCTCAAAAATTAAGTTCTTGAATTTGTGTTTTAGGAGTCGGTGGTTGTGGTCTCGTTTTATGCCGCAGAGTACACACTCACCCGTGAAAGGTCTCTACCTATACGGTGGGGTGGGCACCGGAAAAACCATGTTGATGGACTTGTTCTTCGATCAGCTGTAAGTTTGATTTGCCAATCCAATATTTTATTGGATCATCTTGTAGAGATGTTACGCAGTATTCGAGATGGTTGGAGGGGCAAATTGCTGTGACATTATAGTGATCATTTCAGATTGACTTTTCTCATCTTTCTTTACTCATGAATGTTGATGTGCCCTTTATGACAGGCCTCGAAATTGGAGAATAAAGAGGATCCATTTTCACGACTTCATGTTAAATGTCCATAGCCGCTTGCAAGTAAGAATATATGTCTGTTCTTTCTGTTGCTTCTTTTAGACCTTCAATCATGTATGGCACTTAAACCCTGTAAAATTCTAGCATTAATATTTGAACAGAAGTAAGTTGTAATTTAATCTATGCTGGTCATCTGAATGTTCTGAAGCTCTTTGGTGCTGATCTCCTTAGCCATATTTAATGTACAGATACTTATTAGCAAGTTTGTCTAACTCTATATCCTCGCAGAAACATAAGGGTGTGGCAGATCCACTCGAAGTTGTTGCAGGAGAAATATCTGATGAGTCGATTTTATTATGTCTCGATGAATTTATGGTATAGTAAATTTGGAATTCTCTGATGCTGATGTACTTTTGGATCTTATCTGAATTCTGTTAAGTGTCTCTTACTGGCATGTTTCCTTTTTTGTTTGGACTAGGTAACTGATGTTGCTGATGCCTTGATCCTTAACCGTCTATTTGGACATTTATTTGCCAATGGTGCTGTAAGTGACAACCTTTCTGGGATTTATCGATCTTTCTATGCATCAATAATTTGGAAAAGTTCAAGCTGGATAGTTGCAAAATTGTCATATATTATTTACTACTGTGGTGCAACTACAGATACTTGTTGCAACTTCAAATCGTGCTCCTAATAATCTCTATGAAGGTGGATTGCAGAGGGATCTCTTCCTGCCGTTCATTGCCACTTTAAAGGTGTTTATGTGTATTTGCTTTAATTAGTTAGTAGACTTGCCATACGCATCTTATATATATATATATATATATATATATATATATTTAGAGAGAGAGAGAGAGAGAGAGAGAGAGAGAGAGAGAGAGAGAGAGAGAGTTAAAAATTGAATATTTTTATGTCGTTCTTGCATCTGCTCAAGTTAATGTTTTAATTAATTTCTAATGTCCTTTCTATGCAGGAAAGATGTGTAGTTCGTGAAATTGGATCTCTTGTAGACTACAGAAAGATGACTTCGGTGCAGTTGCTTAACTCTCTCTTCACAGAATTCCACACCTGCTGCTCAGTTGGCAAATGACACTTCTCTATGCCTAACTTGTCTTTTATGTCCAATCTCAGGCAGAGCAAGGTTCATACTTTGTTGGCAAAGATTCATCTGCATACCTCCTGCAAAAGTTCCAGCAATTGATTGGGGAACACACAATTGCTAGACCTCAAGAGGTTGAAGTCGTAATGGGACGGAAACTGAAGGTATGTGCCACACAATGTAGTGACCACTTGTATCCTTCTGTTATATTCGAGGCTACTCATGCTTCTCTCCCTTAACTGCTTTATTTTATATCCTGCTTAGGTTCCACTTGGTGCTAATGGATGCGCCTATTTTACCTTTGAGGAGTTATGTGACCGGCCTCTTGGTGCTGCAGATTATTTTGGGTTATGCAGTAAGTCATTTTTAGGTGTTTTAAGAAGTGATAGTAGTCAAGGCACTGACAAACTTAAAACTACTTTTTATGCAATGAGTAAACTATTCAAGATGAAGGGAACGTGTACATGTTATAATGTAAACTGCTACCTTTTGTCTTTTGTTTATCAAGTTTCTTGATAGTTATTGTGCTTGCATGGGCACACAAACCATAAAGAATTTCATGATTATGGTCTTCTGTGAAGTTGAATAAATTGACAGATGGATATTAGTAGATCCTACCCAAGCTAGGGGCATCCAAAATGCCAATCATTAAATTGAAATAGGTAGAGCAATAAAGAGTTGGAGATGCTTCTTCTTCATTCCACTGATAGAAGTGCCAACTTGGTGCCTTATCATGATTATCTTAAATGATCATGCTTTTTTTTCAGATATTGTGGGCTAAATTCTCATTATCTCTGTTTCATAGAGAATTTTCACACCCTGGCATTGGATGGTGTACCGATTTTTGGACTGCACAATAGGACTGCAGCTTATCGGTTTGTCACTTTAGTTGATGTAAGTCTCAAATCTGAATAAGTTCGTTCTTTAAGATCTTATATTATTTTGGCCTTTTGGCATCACAATTTGCATGAAGTTGTTTTTAAACCCCTCGATCCTCTTCGATGTGCAGTATATCTCAAAGAAATATGCTTTCTTCCTTCTTAACCATATCTGGTTAATAGTCTGATGATATTTTTAAACTGTTGAGGATGCCCTTTGAAGATCAGTTCAAGAAAAGTGCAATTTTAACACAGAAATTAAAGTGGGTACCATGTCACCTATGCCGTGCTTTAGAGAGCAAAGTCGATATTTTCTTAGAATTTATCTTTTTCCTTGGCTCTTTTTTTCTCAGGGTTAGGTTTATGGGAAGTTTTGAGTAGACAATTAAGTTAACTACGTTTTACCGACTGATTACCAGGTAATGTATGAGAACAAGGCTAGGCTACTGTGTACGGCTGAAGGCAGACCACTTGAACTTTTTGATAGGATAGTGACAGTTGCAGATGCACAGAACATGGCGCCTAGAACCTCTTCGAGGTCAAGGAGAAGTGATGATTTGGACCTTTGCGTCGACAATGAACTTGGATTCGCTAAAGACCGTACTATTAGCCGGTAAGTAAACCTCCATTGCTTACTATTAAGAGTATTTTCTGTATTTTATATTGTATTGATGACTGATATTGTAAACGATTTGCAGAACTCCCCGCCGCAAAACATAATCTATTGTTTTAATTACTTTATATTGCTTTAATTACTATCAACCGATTCACTTAATTTTGGATGTCTTTGTGAATGTTTGAGGCTACCTCTTCCATTGAGGCTAGTGAGGCACTAAGCGCTGTCTTGTGCTGCTAATATATGTAAAATTCTTCAAGGGCTGCCTATTTAAAGTTTCCACTCGGAATTTAGGTTCAGTCTCTGACTATTTGGATTTCATGATAAGTTCTGCTTTTCTGGGGATATACTTATGTCTATATGTGGACGACTGGTGGTGGATGGTAGAGATGCATGGCATATCATTATGAGTTATAAAGCCTATAATTATGTACCTTAACGATCTTAGCATCAGAACACAGAACATCCTCTAAAGCCACAATTTACTTTGCTCGTGACTGAATAAGCTGGACTATGTTACTGAAATTGCTGAAAGTTTGGTCATTAGCATCCGGTAATGGAAGGTGACTGCTTTTGATAATTTCTCTACCCGATTGAGAGCATCATTTTCGGATTACTGGACATACTTCTTGTTCTCTAGTCACATTTAAATAGGGAAGAGATAATGGTCGTTTACTCATCGTCTACTTCTCATCTTTATTATACCAAAAAGAGGAGGAAAAGGTCTTGATACAATATGTTGAACAAGTCCCGTAGTACAAGTTACAATCTCAATTGAGATGTGATACATCGTTCTGTTGATTAAATGTTCAAGATACCCGTGTGCATGGAGTTTTTTATAGGCATCCTTCACCATACATTTACTGTGAGACCTCTGATGCTCTGCTTGACCCTCCGAGTTGTCCATTCTTATCCAATTAGAAATAATTTTGGGATCATGCAGTTGAAGCTGATTCATTTAGAGTGCCAACTTGTGCAAACAATTGTTTGTGGTGATATCACTGATTAAGAGATACTGGTGCAGATTAACAGAGATGAACAGCAAGGAGTACCTAGAGCACCACACGGCCATGTTGACGGGGAAGGACATCGCTGAAGAAAGTAGCAAGGCAAATGCCTTGACAGGATGAACAATAAACTTGAAGACCAGCAATCAAACTGATGTAAGCATAAATAATTTGCTAGGACGGGTATGGCTTTGGCGACTATACTAACCATCTACCCGATGTTGATCTGAGCCGGTGGAATAAACTCCCGATTCTTTGCCACTAGGGGGCCTTATGTAATTTAGATGCGAGCTGTAGCACACTTAAACCAATTGAGGAGATTATACTGATAGGATCTTATGGTCACGGTTCACTGTATCTTGAGATGACTATAGCTTGGAATTTGAAGGTATACATATGGCAGGCTTCTAGCCAAAATAAGCAAATTCAAAGGACCATTTACGATTTGATCAGTAGAAAAGACATGAACAAGATCAAGAGTTCCTCGAAGAAGATGTTGTCGATTATAATGACGGTCATTCTCAATATAATTAGTCCGTTTATGAAATATTACATTCCAGTTTGATCTGAACGGCGATTTTGGGTCGTTAATGGGTCATATTTTAGAGGAACGCCCATGTCTTTCAAAAGCCAATACGGTCAAGCGAGTTGAGCACTAGTGTTTGCCAAAGCGCGATAAGTAGATTCGGCTCTGAGATGTGAGTTAATGGTCTGTTTCTTACTGAGCCAATTAATCAAGCAACTGCCAAAAAAGACGCGACACACTACTGTAGAAATGCGATCATTAACATCCCCGGTATAGTCCGCACCCTAATGGGCATGTAACTCTAGGATAGTGTTAGAAGGACAGTGAAATCATATAATAGGTCCCTACTATGACGCAGATATGTACCACATCAGCGTAGTAAATATAATGCAAAGCAGAATAACTAGATCTCTGGTATGAACCAAGAAGGTTATATCGGATGGATAACAATCAGATATACTAAGGCCCCGTTTAGTTCAGCATTTGGAAAAAGTCTTTGGCCAAATGCAAAGGCCTTTAGTTTAAAGGGTTTTGGGAAAATGCAAGACTGTTTGATAAACTGCAACTAAAAAGTGCTTTGAGGAAATGCTAGACTGTTTGGTAAACAGAAATTTGGAAAGCTCTTTGGTGTGACCAAATTAAAATTAAAATTTTAATATTTTTAAAATTGAAAAAAAGAAACAATGACCTTAACTTTGAGTTGGGCTTGACATTTTGCACGATCTGTACCTCATCAGGTTTCAAACGTATGTACGCTTCCATTTTGCGAATGGGCAGAGAGATTATGAATCATCCCAAGCCTTAAAGGTTTCTACGGATTTGAATGGCGAGAGGAGTGGAGCACTTTCAAGATCAAATTTCTTTGATATGGAGCACTTCCTGTTCAATTTATTTGCAGATCCCGTATGCTATCTGACCTTTTATGCATATATGCGTATTTTTCAATTGTGTATATCTGGTTGAATGTTTATCTTCTCCATTCTCAGGATATCATACGTCTTCCCAGGCTGTTCCGATTCTTACAGAGACCCCTTGCACAGCTAATATCTGTAATCCGGGCTCCCAAAAGTAGAGAATGATATGCTGCCATTGGAGGCGGCTCACCTTTGCATAAAATAACCGATGAGCAGGTAAAGTAGTGTACTGCCTTTTTCAGTCTTGTTACGTGCTTAATGTCTCTTTCAAAGATGTTATCTACTTTCTTCTTTCTATATATACCGCATTAAAATGATATCTTTAGTTTACATAGCTAGGTGTGAATGTTATGTCGCACTTTTTTCAGGCACAGACACTCAAAGGGGCTTTGGAAGCAAAGAACATGTATGCAAATGTCTATGTGGGCATGCGCTACTGGTATCCCTTCACCGAGGAGGCGGTTCAGCAGGTTGTTGCCAATTCTTAAGAGGATATCTAACATTCTTAAGAGGTTGTCATTTCACTATAATAAATATGGTCACATATGTCCCCAAAAAAGAAGTACGTTATCCTTAATATTACAAACCTCCTCAATGACTTTGTAAGCTCACGGCTATTTCATCACGTAAACGTGTTATGTCGGAAGATGCATTATTATTTGAAGCATTGACCCCCTCACTTGAATCATCATGGTCAACTGAATATCCATAATCGGGATCCAATTCTGCTTGTTCAAAATCCATATCAGTCACGGCATTTCCTCATATATAATTATGCAAAGCCATTGTCGCTACGACATTTTGCACTTGCTTTTCATATGGATAACTGAGCATACAAGTTAGAGTTCCCCACTTCTATTTTAATACTCCAAAGGCTTGCTCAATTGTTGAGCGTAGTGAGGTATTGGCACGATTGAATACTTCTCGATAACCTGTAGGCGAAGAACCTTCTCGAAATTCTGGTAAATGATAGCTAACTTCTTTATATGGCCCCAAATAACCCATGTGATTTGGATATCCAGCATCTACCAAGTAATATTTACCTACACCAATATATTGTAAATCTAATCAACATATGCTATATAGATATATGGATGTAACTAAACCATTAACTAACGAACCTGGAGGAAGATGGGGAAAATGTGCATCAGGTCTTCCAATAGCTTCATAGAAGATACGTGTATCATGAGCTTGTCCCTCCCAACAGACCCAAACATAGATAAATTCCATATTAAAATTACATATGGCTATCCCATTTTGAGTCGTCGTTACTTGTCGACCAATAAAACGAATTTGATTGTACGTAGGTACCATCACTGGGATATGTGTACCATCAATAGCTCCAATTCAATCCTTAAAATATGAAAAAAATTGTCGATCTTTCTTGATTTTCTCCGGAACTTCCCTATATTGTTGATCGGTTGGTTGGATCAAATCTTTTCCCATATCACATACTTTATCTAAAATTAAGCTAAAGTGCCTACTTATGGTTTCGCCAAAGCGCTGAAAGCGCTCTTGTGCTAACCTGCTGCCTATACCGTGTCCCAAAATATGAAGAAACATACCAACCATTTCTGCAATATCAGTACTCCTAGATCCTTCAAAACCATAGCGTGTTACTAAGTCACGGGTTAAATTATTAAATACAACCTTATGCATTCTAAACATATTATAGCACCTTATAGGATTGGTATCTTCGCCTATCAACTCTTTTGACTATGCATAACTTGTATATGTCGAGGTCATGCAAGGTTGTCTGCAAAGGTATGTTGCTTGATAAAAAATTGTAACTCCTGTGATTGACACAAGATCCCAGTATCATTTTCCTCTTGTTCACGATTTTCCCTTGCATGTGAATCATTTATAACTGCTTCAAGTAACAAAATATAAAGGCCGTAAGAGAAATAATGAATAAGCTTGATCATCCATTGAGAGAAACAATGTAATAACCATCATATATATGCAAACTCAACCACATAAAGAGAACACCAACTGAAAAAAATTCTCACATTAAAACATTAATAGAAATTGGGGTCACAGGAATGCAAATAAAGATTCATCAACAGAAACAAAGTAACATCACTCTCTTCAAACAGGAAAAAAAGTAGCATGATTCCCTTCAAACATGAAAACAATAAGATGCTAACATCCTATCTACGAAGACCTGACTCTCTTCCGAACTCATACTTGAGATACTTGACTCTTTTTGCATCATCCTTTAAGCCCATAAAAACCAGTCTATTGTCTATCTTTTCCTTCAAATGAGAGATTGCAAAATAGTACAACATTTCGTCTTCCACAATCTCAAGTATGGTATCCAATATATCTACGAGGTCCTTGTAAGGACCAACTACATTGGTGGTTGCTTGAGATGTGGCAGTGGCATTGCACCTACTTTCAACAACTGCAACTAGCCTGTTAATTTGCGTCCCAAGCTCTTCTCTTGTGCTCAATTTCTTATCTTTTTTTCCTCGAGCTTGCCTCGTTGAAGTTTGCGCGGCTCTTTTCCGACTTTGAGTTCCAATTGGTTCAACAATGGTTTCATCTACATGACACTCCAAATTTTCATCAGTAGAACCTACAACATCATCGATACCAGGTTGTGTGATTTCAACATCATTATTAATACATAAGCCTTGCCCAGGATTCCATGTGACTCCTCCAGTAGCAATTGTATCTCTAAACATCATATCTAACTTCTCTCTAAGATCAGGATATATGCCTTTCGTCCCAAAAGCCTTAAACTTTGGATTGACCTGTTATAATAAAGCATTTGTGTAAGTTGTATCATTGAAGGTGATCCTAACACAAAAGTCAAAAAAAGAAGTGATGAAAGCCTGGATTTACTCTCCCACCATTCGTCACTCGCATCAATGATTTTCTTCCTTGAATCCTAACCTAATCCTGTTTCATTATAAAGCAATGACCTCCATCTTTTCCATTCTTCCTTGAGATTATCCCACTTACTCTTCATTTTATTCTTATCATACTTTTTTCCTTTTAGCTCCTCAAACTTGCTAATTATGACTGTCCATCCATCCCTTTTGTTGTTTGCAGGACGATTGCCTTTTTCAATTTGTTCAATGCACAACTTACAAAAGGTTTCTACATCTTCCGAGCTCCAAAATGCCTTTTCCTTTGATGAACTTGCCATCTACATCTACTAGTATAGTAACACGAACAAATTTGGGAAGCAAAAACAAACAAGATTAACCATGAACAAATTTGAATGAAGACATGCATTTCTTAACACACAGATAACCAATCAACTCCCATATATTCATTACATAACCAATTGAACATAATTAGTGAATAACATAACCAATTGAACAAAAAAAAGGCAACATGCTACGTTATTCATACTCAGGGGGATTACTCCCACTATGAATCCAACTATAATGAATGCAACTGTAAATCACAAAAAAATGGTCAATGACTACAAGAAACAATCATACTTTTTGACAAAATTACACCTATTGAATTTGCTCTGTTATGAGTACAACCCAACATGTTGTGTTATGAGAGTCAAGTCATCATGAACTTTGAGAATAAAAACCTGGATCAATTAGCAAAAGAAATAGAAGACAAAATCTAGGTGGTACAACATAACTGCCCTAATCTAGGAAATGCAAGAAACAAGCCATTATACATCCACTAGATATGCCCCCAAGTGCATGCTCTGTTCTGGGTACGGCCCATACTCTGTTTAGAGAGCTGAGTCATCATGGACATCGAGAACCAAAACCTGGATCAATTCACAAAAAGCAAAAAAGAACAGAGGAAAAAATTTGGGTAGCAAAATTGGTGTTCCAATCAGACTCTCACAATTGGGCTCTAGGATCTTAAGTGGGGAACAACACAAATTCAGAATGCCGCAACAAGTTCGCCCACAAAATGCGAAAATCGAATGCTTATGTTGAAAATTCTCTCTGCTAATTAATAAAACTAATTTATGAGTCAAGTGATTTGAGGTGGCAATAGACATTAAACCCAG